GAAAGCGATCAAAACTATGCATTTAAATCATAGAGGTAAAATACCAGCGTGCTGCGGAAAACTTCGAACATGTCGAGTGAAACGATGTCTTCATTTGTAATGCACTGCATCAGCGAAGCACGTGTCATGGGATCAACTCCCTTGCTGACTTCAAGATTGGTCTTATATCAATCTCGGAAAGAATCGATTAGTTGCTGCGCGTTTTTTATTCATATCGAGTCTGTTTTTCTAACAACTGACATCGTTATGTGAAGTATGCAAAGGAGTCCAGTGATCAAGAGCTAGGTTTCAATAAATGGTTGTCCACTCGAAATATATCCGATATAATTATTTGGTGATATCGTTTACTGCTACTAAAATAAATACCTTCTAACAATCAATTTGTCACCAAGCCATGATTGAAAATACATAAAATGGGTTACATTTACTTGATTAATTTGTTTCCTTTGGGTTTCGAACCTCATTACTCTGTATTGATTTCTGTTTGCTAATGTTCCGGTCTTCTACTGATTATATGTCCCAAGCTCCCAATTTTGGGACAGTCCCATTAAATTTGTAGTAAGATGCAACCGAAACCGGAATTCACTGAGGTCTAGGATTTACCCGAAATTGCATATACATAGACAAATGCATCGATTTTTACCCTGAATGTTTCATAATCACTTTTAATAACGAGGACAGACAGGTACCATGTTTGTTAAGCTAAGTTGTTTATTGGCAGTTACCCTGATGAAAATTAGCTTCTACTTATAACGCATTTATCGTTAAAGACTACCTCTTGAACTTTGTATTTTCAAACGAACTGTCTACGTTAAATGTAATAAAAGTAGTCTTTCTCAGAAACACTTTATTTATCTTATATTCTGATTGTGATTTAATATCCAGAAAACATTTGTGTTACAAATGACTTTGTATCTTATAATAGAGTTTACAAAGAAACAATGTTTGGCACGTGTACATGTGCCAGTCATTGGTAGATGTTGAAACCGAAACGAAAAGTGGGGGCATCAACCGAAAAATGTCATAAACATACATACATTTATAATATACGGTTGAAGAATACAAATGCTGTATGCAGTTAACCGAAAACAACATGATTTATAGTAGGATTTGTGCATCAATTACAGATGAATAACTTGCTGCAATGTCACTCAGCATCTGGTTAGTATTCTGAGAATTATAAATAAACGGTATATAATTATTCAAACCTACTTCTTCTTTCGGTTCTGGACGGCATACCTTACATCTTGAATCATGTAAGCTTGACAAGCGAAATATGTTTGCTTCCTCATGTCTTGTTGACTGACTAAATAACTGCTGAGTTTCGAAGACAAAATGTCTGGACAAGAACGTTTCAAATAATAAAGACCTACTGCAAACTATTCCATCAGATCGATAGTTATTAAATCTGACTTTGTTCTTTGTCCCATGCGATGCATATTGAAAGGCTAGTTTGGGCGACAACGCAAACAAACTATAGACGGGCAGTTTTACGACTTTCATCTCCTTGTATCCCTGGTGATTTTTTCACCTGAGTTGTAGTATCCGTGGTTGCGTGATATCGAAATAGTATCAAGAACGGACTAACAAAGCGGCTAACAACCACCGAGGAGAAACGCGGAATGGGAATGACACACTTGGCGCGCGCGAGATAATCTTTAGTATAGTTAACCAAAGGAATTACAGTAGAATTATTGTTAGAATTAAGTACAATAATAAATGTTTCCATTTCAGCAATTGTGTTCTCTTCTTAAAAGTATACCACTACAAGCTGGTGCTGCTTATTGTGCCATGTTAGATGTCGGCTGAAGCTTTAGTATGCCTTCAGCTTATTAAATCTGTCAGACAATTCCCGAAAAATATTAGTCAGAACGTCGGTACTACGAGCAGAGATATCAATGTTAATGCATATTTGTTGGAAGCAGTCAGTAGTGTTGGCTGTACAGTCGATGTATTTACTGGCGACAGGAATTCAGCTTTTGAATGTATGCCTGGTATTAGGCGAGGTCTTCCATAAAAATGTTTACTTTAGTTAGTTGGATTGCGGTCAATATCCATTTCTACAACCTCTATTTCCTCGGAGGTGTATGCTTAGTCTGTTATTGCCCTTTCAGGTGCCCTGGAAATTCTGTTTATCGCATAAACCCACCGGTGAGACGGAAGCGTGCCGTTGAGGTCCACTGCCTTGTGTTTGGAATTGAAAGGACTTTCCATCGAAGACTTTGAATCAATACCAACATCCATTTCTCCAGGCGGAATAATAATTAAATTGATCACAGCATACCACCATACTGCAGGGCTTTGTATTTTGGAAGAGTCCAGGCTTCCTCTGGATTACGAAGTCGTTGAACTGTTTCATTCTCTTTGAATACACATAGCTGTGCATTAAGTAACCAATTTAGTGAAACGATGTGGAATTGTCTTTTCGTAATGTCCGGTATAACGGCGAATAAATTATCTGTATTCTGAAAAACAATCACAGATTTAATGTATTAAATTTGGTAAATAACTTTGGATGGTACACTATGTTGCCATTGTTTACACGTGGTCACTAATGTGTTCACTTGAAAAACTTAAAAACTAACTGCCTGAGAAGTGATGTCACCGAAGTTACTTAAAAGTATGCATAAGTATGCACCTCATAATTATGTGTAGTGATTGAATCACATAAAATATATTATCAAGACCTAACTTCACTAGAACAAACGTATATAGCTATACTACTGGCAAGAAATCTACGTTTGTGCTCAGTTTTACAAAATTGGCCTAGGTCTGCATTTTTTCCCGAAGTCCGCCCAAAATTGGTATCGTGGTTAGCTGCTCTTGTAGTACAATGATCTGATTCACAAATTTGTGTCGTATTTCGATTATCCATACTTTATTCATACATCATCCGCTTGTGTTTTCCTGGTTAGCCTTTTCAGGGATTGGGTCACTAACCCCATGTCTAACACCCTTCCTTTATCCGGGCTAGGGACCGGCAGTAACCCCAGAAGGGCTATGGGAGGAGTTCTTGGGCTTGTGTTTTAGTAGAGTATAAATCCATTATATAATATGCTTGCCTTGTATTACTCCAATATGTAAAGCTGATGTTTTGTCTTGCAAACTCACCGATCGTTTGTGTTGCACGCTGTATGAAGAGCTCTGTAGTGAGAAATGGTTTGTGTTTTGAAGGGTCAGTTTCAGAAATATGAAGTGATCAGTATCTTATTTAACTATGGTCTGTATATTTACTTAAGCTTCACAAAAAATAGGGTAATTTTCGCTTTGAGATGTAATTTATGGTCACTTCCAGGGAATCTAAAGCTTAACCTTCATCATAAAAAGAACATCTCTGAACCCGATTGTTTGTAATGTGCCGTCCAGTAAAATCGTATGCGCCTCCGTAACATATTTAATAGAAATAATATTCATGTTAGTTTTTCCTTCAGTTTCTTATGAGGTGATTTTTATCCCTACAATTTCAATTTTATCTGTGAGACAAAGTCATTTCGGTGATAGTGTTTTATTTGGGGAAGGTTTCTGAGATACTGATAAACATTTGTTATATTTTTATAATAGTCTTCACATATTTGATAAAACCTTAGACTAGGTAACGAAGATTTTCGACTCTAAGCCACTGATTCTCGGGTTCGAGCGCCACTCCACCTTTATCTGCAAAGTTTCACTGTTTATTTGTTTTTATTCCCCTCCTTTAAAACCATGTTCATCCCAATGCTTATTTCCGTTGATCCTCGTTTTTTCGTTTCGTTCGAAGGTACGACGTGTTGGAATGATATATATTGAGGTTTTTTCACATTTGGAATCATCAACCAATCATTGTTAGACCACCATTAGAAACCTGGAAGCACTGTACGGCCGTTTCGTCCTGGTATGGGACTCATCAGCAGTGCGCATCCACAACTCCTGCTCCTCGCAGGATTCGAACCCGGGACCTTCGGTATTGTGTGCGAACGCCTAACCATCGGACCACTGGGCCGGCATCCAACGGTGTTAATGTCTAACTCTGATGGTTAGGCGTTTTCAAATGTGAAAAAACACAAACCTCCAAAACTCTGCCCCAAGATATATTGAGTTTTCACATTAATACATTTCTCCTACACATATTCGTTTATCGTTCATTTGTATAAAGAGAAGTAAGTTGTTTCAGAAAACACTCAAGAAAGAATTTAATCAACGGTATATGCTCTAAAATTCCCACCCGTCTGTATACAAACTTAAGACCATGAAACGTCTGTATTGTGTGGACCATATCGTAGCACTTTTAATGTTATTCCTAACCGTGATTCCCTATACTTCAAGTTTTCCTCTCTCTCTCTCTCTAATAAATGACCAGTTTAAATATCTTGTGTTTATCGAAGTCTTCAGTCACTTCAGGAACCCATAGTTTCAAACCATGACTAATTTCTTTCTGGCATCATCTTACTCTATTCCATTCTGAAGATATTCTTCTAGGGTTTGAACCACGTATACCGGGGTTAATACTAGCAACTCGATTAGTAGTGCTAGATAATGTAAAACTTGGATCTCAATCTAAAGAGTAATTGTTGAGCTAGTGTGTTAACGTCTCAACCAAAATATCCGAGTATCCTATGCTTATTGTCAAAGCAATAAATTTAGGTTGCTTATGTGATATCATAATTATTAGTTCTTTTTTCCTGATCATCTATGTTTTGTTCATTCTCTGTGTGTTCATCCATCAATGGAAATGACTTAACTAATCTGTAAACAAGAATAATGATGACTAAAGAGGTAACTGCCAGAACTAGTGGACAAAAACTAAATATTTCAACAATATCTGAACAGTAAAAAAATTTCAATCAATCATCCATTTACTCTGACTAGTTGGACTTAGAAAAAAAAAATCATTTTAAATTAAACTCACCAACTGATCTTTTTACCCATTTCATCATTTCCTTTGAATATGTGTTCGTGATAACAACACCGTCAGCTTTACCATCAGATGTTTCACTTTTTTCAACTGTTTTCTTTTTTTCAAGTGTTCAACCTCTTTAGGAGATCCATTAAAAAAGCAATTCATGGGGAAGACATCACTGTCAGAATCCGAAATTTTCAATTATTTAGAGCAGTTATCTAATACATTGTTTAAGTAAGTTAAATCGCCAATTGTGGCACTATTTGTAATTTGATGATTTAGTAAGAAAAATAAAATACGATAACACAAAAGTTTTTGTCAATACTAGTAGGTCAAACGTGGATAAATGGACTTAAAATAATCATTAAGAACCAGTGAAACCATTACGTGATAAGAAGTATCTACATAATTACTATCAGTACATCTGTCTTCCTACTATCAACTTGTACTTTTGCCCACTGTTTATTGAGTGACGTAATCTATTTCATTTCATTGTGATGATTGACTCATGAATTGCCTTGATTGGTTTAACATTTTCATGATAAATATTCATGTATAATTAGAGTAAGGCCTGATGACGATCTAATCGAAACCAATATTGTTCTCTTATATGTGTTGTTACAATTAAATGAATAGTTAAGCGGTCGATATCATTACAGTAGCATTATTTATGAGAGTAAAAAAGTCCTTTCTAAAAAACCTCGATTGATTAATAAAGTTATAAACAGCGTTTTTGTTTCTTTGGTTAAGATAACAAGACGGAACACTTGTTGTTCTCACCTAGTCACTAATGGCCCAATACAGTACGCATAAGTTTATACTTGGTAAATATTTCATTTGCTTTTGATTTAATTAATCAGTCTGTCAGATAACATTTTATGAAGGGTTCCAGTCAGTCATAGACACACGTTTATACGTCCCGCATCAATAAAATTTCTAGACCTTAAAGCGGCATTTGACTCAGTGGATCGTGAGGTTCTGTGGCAGTGTCTGTCATTGAAAGGTGTACCAAAGAAGTACATTAACCTTATACGAGCCCTCTATTCGAACACCACTGGTCGAGTGAGAGGATATGGCGAACTGTCATCTGAACTCTCTACTTCAAGTGGTGTCCGTCAGTGCTGTCCACTCTCTCCATTCTTGTTTAATTTTGTCATAGACATGCTTCTAGATATAACATTATCATAGTCTGACTTTTCAGTGGTGGGCCTTCTAACAGGAGACACGCTTGTTGATTTAGAGTATGTCGATGATATAGTTCTAGTTGGTGAAGAATCTGAAAAAATTCAGTCTTCTGACTGCCTTAAGCAACAATGCAAGCATGTTCAGGATGCGGTTTGTCCCCTCTCCCTCGAAATGCGAAATGTTGCTTCAGGATTGTCGTGTATCGGCACCTGAACTAGTGATAGGGAGTGAAGTAATTGAGCGTGTTGACCGCTTCACTTATCTCGGGAGTCTCGTCAGTGCTGATAACCTGGTGTGTGATGAAATCGCAGCTCGGATACAGATGGTTCGATTGGCTTTTGCCAACTTGCGTCACTTATTGCGTAGGCGAGATATCCGTTGGCTGACTAAAGGACGAGTGTACTGCGCAGTAGTTCGCTCCGTCCTACTTTATTATGGCTGTGAAACATGTCCAGTCAGAGTAGAAGGTATTCGTTGGTTTCTGGTTTTCGATCATAGGTATCTTCGAAGCATTGCTCGTGTATCATGGGACAATCGAGTAAGCAATGCAGTCGTTAGAAAACGGGTGCTAGGTGAGGATTGCAAGTTAATACATGGAATATTGAATCTTTATCAGTTGAGGTGGTTGGGCATACGTAACCCATGACTGCCTCGACGGACGATGTTTTGTGATGTAGGAGTAGGTTGGAAGGAACGTAGGGGTGGCCAGACCGAAACATGGCAGAAATCCATGAATTCACTGACAAGCGGACTGAGTCATGTTGGTAGTTGTCGACTACCTGGTTGGGGCCCTCGAGATGATAATAATCGATGGTTAGAGACCTTGAAAAATCTGACTCAAAATCGTCTGCAATGACACAGGTGCATCCATTCTTTGTGTTCTGCCAAATCCCAGCCTTCTGAATTCCGCATCACCTCTATCTTTCTCTTATTAAAGTTATCTCACTGAATTATACTTCTTGAATAATATCTTCGAACCCTTATCTTTCAGATTACTGCTAATACTTTTACTACATCTACTACTGTGTGATTTGAATTGATAATTGTATCTCTGTGCTAATGTGGTATGGCAATTTTACCTGATGTATGTACGTACGAAGGAAGTTCTACATCGTGGCTAACTGACTGACCAATTAGTCCTATCCATTTCAATTGATAGAGGCTCACAATCTCACCTACAAGTTAGCCATTTGTGAAGTATCCTGTTACTAACCCTCATACTACTCAACTGGTCATAAAAATTGTAATAAATATGTCAATTCACATACCATATTTCACAGCTATGAAGCACTTCCCAGCGAACTGATACTTCGGATACTTGCTCGTTTGTTAGAAAATTTAGTTTTGTAAATTTTTTTAAGTTATAGTAGAATATGAATTATCATTTGAGTTCTTATTTGGAATAGCAAAGTTTACTGATGATCAGTTATCTGACATTCTGTTGTTCAAATTAGAACTTTAGGAAAGTTAGACTATCATTCTCTATCGGTCATGTGATGCAAATGTATTAACGGAGTGAACAGACTTGTGTTTTATTCATTCCTCAAGGCAGAACACATCTGGTTATTGATCATATTATCATAGAATGTTGTAGTGTGATTGTTGGATTTAAAATTTCACATTATGGATTAGCTTTAGTTAGACAACCGCTAAGAACCAGTATGCATTGAAAAGCTGTCTGGTCTCATTGTAGGTATCAAGATAACTGTAGATTGGTGATGTAGAATCTCCTATGAATGTTAGTTCTTTTTTTTAAATGATAACCTAGACAAGATTTTTATAATTTATTATTTTGCACTAACCTTTTCTGTTTTACATAATTAGTTGTCTTTCGCCTAGTGTACTAATTTTCCCATATCGTAAGATTGTATTTTGTTGTTGTACATGCATAGTTGTTTGACTTCTGGAATATCAAGCTTTACATGTACTCTTTTGTCTTTTCTCATATTCTTTCGTTTTAGGTATTATTGTTGAAGTTTTACCTATTAGTTATTGTACTATCAAGCTCATTATGATAAAAAAATAACGTAGGACAAATTGTAAATTATAACAGAGGTACTCTTCAACAGTATTCATTCACGAACTTACCAGGCATCAATTCCTGAACCTTCAAAGATCTCTCATTCGGTTAGCGTTTAATTTTATGAGTACTGAAATGTGACATTCAATAGTTGTTCACATTTCTAACTTCAGTCACTTCATGATATTGATTGATTTGCGTAGGGTATCAATAAATTTTCAACAAATTACTATTATTATTACTATTATTACTTCATCATGTGATTTCTTTCTTTCTTTTTTTCTTCTTCTTTCTAGACCAGGCGATTATTCACTTTTTAGGCATAATTGTAATAATTTCAGTGAACATTTTATCTTTCATTTAACTGCACAACATATTCCATCGTACATATTAAATTTACCTGATGAAGTATTATCTACATCGTTTGGAGCTTCATTAAGTTCAGCTTTAAATGTTCTACCAGTTGGAATCAATTCAAAAACGCATTTGAATAGTATCAAAGAAACGGCATGTATGTATTATGGTTATTATCATCTTTTTGATAATTGAAAAAAAAATATTTTTTTTTTTGAATGTTATAGCTCATGACAACCAACACACGTATGGTTATATTGTTAAATCATTTCGACCAATATTTTTTGATGTAAGTGTGTTTTGTAATTGATTTGTTTGAATTTTTTTTGTGTGTGAGTATTTTCTCTTGAATTGCTTATCACTCTTATTCTTACTATTATTAGCTGAGAGACGTATCGATTCAATTTGAAATGGTTTGGATTATCTTGTTGTTGGTATTTCGACTGAAATTTGATCAATCTTGGTTGGCATATAGACATCCTATGCGGATTGCCTCGATACTGCCATTATGACACAAATTTCTATAGAATAGATAGAATGTGGCTAGCAATAGAATCCAGGGCACGCGTTTTGTTGCATTCAGGACTCGTCTGCTAGATTTACTTGCCATATCACAGAGTTGATGCTTACTCCGGGACTCAAATACCATTGTGTTACCCACTTAGCGGATAGGTCCTGAAAGCCACTTATTTGTGCAAGGTGTATGAGATTTAATGCGATTTGAAAGTGGATAGCACGATGGCGTTCGGAACAAAGATTACTGGGTTCGAGTCCCGGAATAGACGTTGACTGTGAGATGTGTCAGGTACGTCCAGCTGATGAGTACTAGATAGGACGAAACGCGCATCCTGGATCGCACTTCTAACCACATTCTATCTATTTCACGTAAACCTGTTACCTATTAGTCTAAAGTCGGATAGTGTAACCATTGAGCCACTGCTAGACTTGTAGTAAACTACTAAAATTTATAAATGAGACTTTCAAGGTAAATGTTTCAAAGTTGGTGACGTATCTCATTGTGACTTATTTCGAAAGTTAGACGGTATTAGGAGTTTGGACCTGAGACCTACCGGATGAAGGGTGGGTGTGAAATTTTACTGCTAGTTGCATCAGTGCATGGTATTAATCAGGTATTTCTCTTAAATAACTAGCATTTCCAGAGTTATCGCAGTCTCATAACGAATTGACATAGTTAGAAAAAGTTGGCATTAGAAATTACCTTACAGTTTTTCGTCGTTGTAGGTAAAGGCTCTAAAATACTAAGCTAACACATGTAAAACTACTCTGCGGTCACACATCAGGTTACTAAAAGGACTACCAATCTGGTTTCCTTATTATATACCCCAAGAAGATATATCTTTGTACAATGTAAACAATCAAAATAATCCATCAACCATTCAAAATCAAGCATTTTCCGAGTGGGAGATTGAAGCTGAGGGTCTACTGGCGCGAAAGCATTGAAGTTCAAAATTTCAGAATAAAATTAGAACATTAAGAGAACCTTCCCAAGTGAGTTCTGGGGATCTAGAGTATCAAACACGTACGTACCTTGCGTCGACTTGCGTCTTAGATGTCGGAGATGCCACCCTCTGAAACGTAGATCAGCTTGTTGTTGAACTTTTTCTCGTAGTGAGGCTGCCAGTAAATTGAAAGTATTTAGCAGGATGTCAAAGGGACGATTTAATGCTGTTGATGGGCGATCTGGGACTAGCCGTTTGCATGTCTAATTCCAATGGCGTGATCATCTCTTGCTTTCTACCTCTACTTCGTTCATGACACGGTCAACTCTTCTGACCACTCGCACTTCTGTCCATGGACCATGGGTTAGTCTGTAGTCACGGACAAACACAGGACATCCCACTTCGTACATGGATCGCTTTTCAGACTTTGTTTGCACTGGTGTAGACGCATTACTCGGATGCATCAGGCTGTGAATCGTTTTCAGTCTTCTTCCCATCAGGATTTCTGCTGGGGATACCGCATGCATTTTCGAACCAACTTAGTGATATGTTGATCCTTTAGGGGTCAGTATGCAGACAGACAGACAGATACAACGCAGAACTTCGTACGTAAGTACATCAGTTCAGGTTGCCATGCCCCATCAGCACACAGACGCTACTGTCAGTTCAAATCTAAGAGTTGTAGCAATAATAGAAGTATTGGCAGTAATGGAGAAGATTGGGGAGCGAAAATATGATTCGAGAAGTGTAATTCAGTAAGATAAATTCAGAAGGAGAAAGGTAGAGGTTATGAGGAATGCAGAAGCTTAGAATTTCATAGAACACAAAGAGTGGATGCACCTGCGCCATTGCAAACGATTATGAGCCATGTCGTTCAAGGTCTCTAACCATTGGTGACTATCGTCTCGCAGACCCCAACCAGGTAGCCTACATCTTCCAACATGACACAGTCCACTTGTCAGTGACTTCATGGATTTCTGCCGTGTTTCGGTTTGGCCGCCCCTAGCTTTCTTCTAATCTACTCCTGCACCACAAAACATATCTCGTCGCGGCAGTCGGTGGTAAGCCTTACGTAACACAGTATGCATAACTGCTGGCTATAGATTTCATTCGTCTAACCCCTGCATGACCAAGATGAAGCTGTCTCAGCGATTTCGCCGCAACCACTCTTTCTCCATACATCAAGCAGTCGTTTACAATGCATAGTCATTCTCGCTGCTGATACAGCTATTTCATGTTACCATCAAACTTCTTCGACGGCCAACCGTTGGTGACTTGGCTCACCATCATCTTGATGTTGGGGTCGTTCCCAGAAGCGTTTCGTATGTCCGTTGCAGACACCGGCAATGCCCGTGTTGCGGTTGTCAGATGATATTCCTCATGGTTCCCCTCTGACAGAGATGCGATTACCATGTTTTCTCAGCCGCCACTTGATCATTAATGAGACGTGATAAAGCATCTGCGTAACCGAATTGATGAGCGCGTCGGTATTCATGAGCTCAAACCGTTCGCTTCATTGGCGCGAAGTGATAAACGACCGAAAGAAGGATTGGTCGAGGAGATTAGAGAGTTATTTGGAGGTGTAGAAAGGATTTGATTGTGACCAGTTTGGTCTAGTGTGCTTTTATGGGTATGAGGGTGGATGGTACTTTCCGGCTGCCCACACCGTGCAAGGTTTCTGGTTTTCAGAGGGGGCATCAGCCTCATGATTTCCGAAGGGACTCGGCTTTCATAAGAGACGTCATAACTCTTCTAAATGAAAAGCAGAGTTTATATGCTCTGAATTGTTTTTTTTATCTTAACGTTTCTTTGACAAGTTAGTTTTTTTCGGGATGGGGTCGCCAATCCACATCCCAACCCTCCTCTTTTTTCTGGGCTTCGGTTCAGCAGTAGCCTCGAATGGTCTATAGGCGATGTAGATGTAGACTACCAGTTTGTGGTCTTGGAGGCAATCGTAACCGATGGTTGAATACTTTATATGACTTGACTCAAAATCATTTTCATCCATTCTTTGTTTTCTCAAATTCTAATCCACTGAGCTTTTCATAGCCTTTTTAAATTGATTTCTCTGGGATATACTTCTCGAATTATATCTTAAATCCCTTATCTCTTCAATTACCGCTATTACTTCTACTACATTTACCACTCTGAGAATTGAATCGACAATTCGATCTCTGTGTGTTAATGTGCTACAGCAACTTGAACTGATGTACGTACATTGGAAGTTCTACGTTGAAGCTGAATAACTGGCTATGAAAAGAATAGTTGAATGATTCAGTGAATGAAGTCATCTAAGAATGGTTTATATGTGCACGATATCAATTGGATAAATATCTCTATCTGATATTATCAGCATTATGTATAAACCTATGCACTGTCATTTAATTACTCTTTTGTGTACAATAGCAGTTTTCAAAATTAAATTATAATAATCTACATCTAATACTACTGTCTTCATTGATCTCTATATATATATATATACATATATATATATATATATATATATATATATATATATATATTAGGATATTCACCAAATATCCTAAGAGTACTATTTTTGGAAGTATAATCCTATTGGTCAAAATTATGATGGTTTTAACTGTCAAAGTCGAATACTTCAATGTTGCCTCTGATTGGTCTTTAGGACTGTCAATGTCATTTCAGATGTGCTTTCCTATTGGTCGTCCTAAACTGTCAATGTCACATACTTTGATGATCTTTCCTATTCGACCTAAATGTATAAATACGCACTATCTGTAAGACTTCATGATTCTGATTCCGTTTCTTCCTGCCAACCTCTCTTCTGAACTCGACCCAATAAACAACTCCAACCAACGGTGTTGCGTTCTGATATAAAGGAGATTTGGAAATAGTTTTTGGGCTGTATTGGGATATTTGAATTTGGACGCCGCTAGGACTAAATAGCTATACGTAGCAGCATTATGACAATATATATATATATATATATATATATATATACAGATAATATCGCATAATGTGTTTCAGAAAACCAGTGAGAAGATGAATGCAGTTGGTCTTGAGGTCCGATGAGAGTAATCAAGTTCCTTAATTTGACATCTGGCATAATATTTGTTTAATTATTTGCGTGTTAAATTCAATACTAATTAAATAAACAGTGAGCTTTGATTAACATTTATAATAACCTCAAAAAATTGTCCCTCTTCATCATATTCCGATGCATGTGTATACATTCTTTCAGGAACCGTTATCCTCAGAACTTCTTCCACATCGTATATACTTGTTATGGCCAGCTGGAGAAAATTCAAGTTTGCCAACTTTGGCTTCAAAATTATCACAAGTACTACTTCATGAGAATACAGAAGTGAAGTGCGCTGAAGAATGTTCATCTCTACTTGGTATGGACTTTATATATATATATATGTCTACTATATAAGATCTAGTGACTTATAGTTTATGGTATCCTCCTATGTTAGTAAAATGTTCAGATCCAAATAGTGTTTGATTGGATAATCTACAGTTCCACAACAAGATTTTCAACGTTACAAGTTTATGAGGCTGAATGACGTAGATTTGAGTCTCACATGGAAGGAACATCTATTCACTCAAGGTTACAAATACACCTTGGTGATGAATGCAAACTGGTACGTAATTCAGATCCTGTAGGGAACTGTCACAAATTCGCAATGGTTAATGACATATTTATGTATGCTGAAACCATATTCATGGTGTTAACTTTACGTATCAGTTAAAACTCTGGCCTTGTTTACTTATCACGTTTGTTAAATATTAATCTAAACAGGATTAATGACATTTTTAGTTATCTTACTATATTCATTATAACTACATGGCGAAAGAGTTCAATTTTGGAAAGTTGCAGATATTTTTATGTGTATTCAAAATCTACGATTAATTTATTTTTCAACTATTAAAAAGTTTGCTGTTTTTTATTTAATAGTTTTTTTTTTAAGTATAGATAGAATATATTTTTTTGATTATATGTCACTAATTCAGATTAATTGTTTCGTTTCGAGAACTAGTTAAAATAAATGTTGTCTCATGGGTATTCTCTTGTAAAAAATCGTAAATCATACTTTTATACCATATACATGGTATACGTGGCTTTCAGTCGCATTGTAATTTTGAAGGCTGGTGATACAATTTACTCTCTGCGCAGTCACTACATAATTCTTTAGATCTTCTACCCTTTTTAAACACATTTCAAAACCGATTTTTTGGTGAAAATACTGCTATCGAGGGTTTTTCAGTTCTATTCTGTTGTATGCAGCAATCACTTATTATATATTGTCGAGACGCTGTTGTTAAATCAGAATTAACAATTAACTCTTTCCAATGAAACATAAGGATCTTGATTCTTTATCCATGCCTCAGCCTTCACTTACTAATTACGGGATAGTCTTATTGTATAACCTGATAAGTGAAATTTTTTACCTTAGAAATTGTTTACAATCTACATTGTAAGATTTAGTTCGCCTACAAGTATCTTCTCCAAGTATATATTGTTACACTGATGAATCACAAACTTTAAATGTAATGCGACTACACTGAAAATAAATAAAACTTAGTTTTAAATATTTTATTTCTGACTGGCAAATTACTACAACATAATTTTAGTTGAAAAAAGCAATGTAACACAGTAACGAAACGATAGGAAACCATAGATTTAGGTTTCATGGTGTTTCTGTAGTCGTCAGTAATATGTATCTGTTATCTTGAGGAGACTTATACTCCTTGTCGAGTTGAGTTCTGTGTTACTTAATCGATAGAATTCGATCAGCGCTTTGCTGGACTTGATATACGTGACACTGGTCACTATGATCAGTGGTTTGTATGCAATTGGACTAACAAATGATTAATTACAAGAAACAGTCAAATGTGTTTATAAAATGTAAATCAAATCACATGGAAAATACTCAATTGTACTGATTAAGCATAGACGAAAAGTCGTTGAACAATTGCCACTGACATTGATAGCATACATATTGGGAACCGGGAAACACTGACCAACTGTCTCATCCCAATATATAGAACTCTTCAGCGGCAGCACGCATCTACGACTTCGCTACAAGGGTATTGAACCTAGGTCATTGAGTGTCGAGTACGAACGCTTAACCTTGACAGCACTAAATCGGCATTCAATGGTGTTCAATCAAAATAACAATATTTCATGATCATCTTACTTTGTTTTAGATATGGATAATTATCCCACACACTTGAAATATTTAAGCAACACTATTCATGGTCTCTTACTAGAACTCTGAGATTTATCTCTTGTTTCTAATCATTGCAAACCGTAATCGTGATGATAACTGTGAATAAATTACAAAGTTATTATTATTCATTTAATCTGATCGTTTCTTTTATTTTTGTTTTACAAAAAAAAACGAATACAGCATTAGATGAATTAATTACAGCTGATCAATGTAGAGCAGCTTGTGAATTATTTCGTCTAGCCATATGGAAAGATCCGAATATATTAATGAATTTATTCACTGATCCAAGACGTTTATTACATAAATTATGTAAAGTGCAAATATCTTATGTAAAACCGTGTGAATTTTACGATGTTGAGGCATCACGTGCCAAATTAGTAAGTACTTTCTGTCTGTGTGTATTTGTTAGATTAACAAACTCTTTTCTAGATCTTATCAAATATTTTTGACCAAATAAATCAGATTGTGTCTTGTAGTCTTAATTAACCAGCTTCTTCTCCTACCACCAATCTCAATAAATTTGTCATTTGGGAAAAATCACTTTACTTGTTATTTCATTTTGTAGTCTGAATATTAGGGAATCATGTTGCATGTTGAAGCATGCTGCACTCCTTGTCTGTGCTTATGTATATTTTGACAATTTTCATTAGCAGTGTTATAAGAAGCCAAGTTCATATGGTGTTATGTTCTACAATCCAAGTCGGATATAGTCTCTCTTGTTCCTCCTCTGGTCTCCAGAGTATCCCGAATACACCGTTCTCGGGCGCTTTTGAAGCTCTTCTCTTCAACTGTCGACTGTAGCAGCTTCTAAGTGATGCTCCGCTGTATACGACTTATAATCAGTTTTTTGGGTAGCGTTCAATAGAAGTAGACTATGTCAAAAACTACCACCTACCAAGTTATCTCACAGAATTATACCTTTTGAATCATATCTTCGAACCCTAATCTTCTCCATTATTGCTAATACTTCTACTATCGTTACCACTGTGTGATTTGAACGGACAGTTGCATCTCTGTTGTTAATGCAGTATGGCAACCTGAACTAATGTATGTAGGTACGAAGTTATCACTGACTGACTGACTGACTGACTGCATTCTTTGTTGTTATTATTGTTTTTTTTTCAGCTATGCAATTGTCTAGGCTTATCACTCAGTTGGATGGTTATGTATGAGAATGATATGAAGCTAGATATCAATAGTATCATACAAATTAGTTTGACTCTATTAAATCATGATGTTGAGAACCATTTATCCAAAGAGGTTATGGGTTCCACCACTACACCATCAACAGTAGTAACATCTGGTTATTTACCGAATCTATTGCCAGAACATAAACTGGTTGGTTTAGCGTTGGCTCATAATATTTCCTTATATCCAACGGTAAGTTTTTGTGCTATTTTCTCTAATTAATATCACAAACCAGTCATAGTTGGACAACTATTAGACATCTGACTTGCCCTAGTTTGTCACTCTTGAGTGCGCATCTACGACTTGGTTATCAAAGTTTTTTTTCGGTTTCGTGTGCGAACGCTGAGCCAAAATCTAATGGTGTATGAGTCTACAATCTGATTGTTTTAGGGTTATTGTTCATTCATTTGCTTGTACACTACTTTGGTTGTTGAGTGTTTACTTTGCTTTTTACATTGTAAAATCGTAAATTAAGTTGGTCGGTTAGCTGGTTTCAATTTCAATGAATGGGTAATCAAATGAGAAAAGTGGAATATTTTGTTGAATTATTCAATGCATTGTTTTTTTAGAACTTCAACAGCAAACTAAATAATTGTTATTAAGAGAGCTAAATGCATGATAATATTTTTATTTTCTAGATTAATATATTTTTGTAGTTGTGAAGATTAATAGAAATGTAGGGAAGAGATGATCATGAAGATCAAACAATCTTGGATCTCTTGTGTTTTTTTTTCCCCAATAGTTCCGTTTAATATGACTAACAGCTTAAATTAGTCAATTGAACAATGTTATCACAAATATGTATTGTACTAGTTTGTCATTATTTAAAATCAACGAGGAGATAATTCAACAAGATTTAGTTAAAAAAAAAACAATAGTGTAATAAGATTAATTCAAGTTAGCAATATTACAGAATTTGAAAAGAAAAAGAAAAGGAAAACAACTGAAACAAAGAGTTTGTGTGTCACCTACAACATTATGCTGAACTCGGCGTTCTGTTCATTCACATGCTCTGCATTATCATAAATTACTGTTAGTCTGTTAATCTTAACCAAAAACAAACCCCCCTCCCCTGTGAACTTCTTGTTTAACTTTTCAGTTTAGGTTGTTACAGGTTGGAGTTAAGACCTCCATCATATCATGCATGGCATAGTTTACATAAGTTAGTGTACTCTAGTTATTTTCTTGTTTTTTGGTATTTATAATATCTGATATCTTAATTGTTGTCTATAGCATTTGCTTTTTTATTGAAGTACTACACTTTTAAGAGTCAAAATCTGTGGGGGTTAGGTGAGTTTTAAATCTCTAAGAATAATTGGATATGAGTTATAAAATTATTTCTCCCGGCAGTCGCACTTATCTTACCAGTGTTTGTAAACTCATCAACATACATTTGTACCTATGTACTGTAGTGTGCCTATAGCTGCGTGTTCTTAAGCTCGGTTTATAAATCAGAAGATGAACTCCAAGTATCGTGTACGTTTATTCAAGGCACACCACATAGCGAATTGGAGAAGGCTAAGAGCCAACTCTTTGGATTACTATGCGAGCGAATGAGTGAAGCGAATAGGAGAAGGCTGTTGAGCCAACTCTTTGGATTACAATGCAAGCGAATGAACGAAGCGACGTGGAGAAGGCTAGTGAGCCAACTCAAAGAGATAGAACATGACTAAGAATATATAGTCAGACAATAATAAGACAGACATATGACAAGCGAAATAGGTATGCACACACATGAATAAAAGCGACGAATGATTGACAAGGTCAAATGCAAGCGATACAAATCATGTGAGTTCATGGGAATATTACGAGATTAACATTAAAGCGAAAAGGATGAGTAAGTGCGTAAGCGTAAGCAATGCTCAGTCGTATAAGCTCATACAAACCAGATAATAAAAAATAGGAATGGTACATACAAGTTGTTGCTAAGCGAATGGCTTGGTTAGATAAATTAATCGAAAGGGCTTAACCTAGTTAGATGTAAGAGTACTGGAATATATGTGGAGGCACTACAGTACTATTATATACCAAGTGTGATTATAGGGAGGTCTTAACTCAAGTACGAATCAATATACTCTTTTAATGTAGGTTAAAGTTGGATCAAGAAAAGTTTTTCCATTGTTTTGAAAAATGATGAAGTCATGCTGTGCAGGTCTTTGAAATTTGGACTGTCTCTATCATTTTCCACATTTTTGGTATAAAATGTTTTTAAGAAGGATTTTCGTCGAAGGACTTTCGTCGATGTTAGCATAGTTCATACAGAGGAGGTTTTAGATGCCACCAGATCCTAAACATTGGGATGAGTTAAATGACTGAAGACATCAGTCACAGTGAAAACTAAAACAAAACTCTTATTCAAACTTGTGAATATAGCAAGCATTATATCATATGACTGACGTACAAAAGATTTATTTAATTCACAGGCATTCAGCTTGATGTTGTCACCAATGTGTTTCCCTCCTGTAAGCTGTTTAAATAGTTCCCACGTCTTTGACGAGTTTTTACAAGATAAGAGTTTCTGAATAAGCAGACTTTGTGAAGTATGATCACTGTTTGTAGAGTATAATTGGAAAAATAAGATTTCCAGTTAATCGCCTAAATGGTGAGATGATTTGTGTGTTCCTATTTTTCGATGGATTGATTGCGTTTATTGATAAAGAATCTCGATCTAGAATAGAACAAAAAATTGATGTTTTATGTTTACCTCAATTAAATATCCAGTCAAAATTAGTAGTTTATATTTTGGGGAAATCTATCTTTGGCATACATTAAATCGATTTCCTTAATATTATTCTTCTGTTCATGTGTACTAACTAATTTTCACTTTTTTTTTTTAAATTTTATTTATGATCAATATTCATTGGGACGATTGTAATAGCTTAATGAAAATGAAGCATTAGAATTGGGAAGTTGTTTGTTACATTTAGTTGTAACAAATGAAAAATCATTTAAATATCCAGTCGATAGTAAGTTGAAGATTTTTTGCGAAGAGGAGAGATAATTTAAAAAATAATTAAATTCATGATGTGATTTAATGTACAACCTGTTGATCTATTGGCTAAGGTATTCAAATTTCAACCATTAAGTAAATCCACGATTCAAATGCCACCCTATCGACTTCGATTTGTGAACAACCTAAGAACAATATCATTAGCTTTTATCATATCTATAGTGTGGTTTTTATCCAATACCTAGTGAATACGGTAATAAATAAATACTATTTGTTAGGGACGTTAAATCCACGGAGATCGCTTGATAAATGACCTAATTTTGGATTTTATTCGTCGGCTGATCAATTGACCTTGAGATTACATTTCCCACCTCGAAAATCCTTGTCTGTTACTGGTTGATGTATTATTTTAATACGTTGTTTTTGTGGCTTTCTCAAGGTCGTTCCTATGATATACAAATAAACTTGATTTGTGTGCTTGTTAATCTCGATGTTCTGGGTGCTTGTTGAATACACTTTCTACGCAAATCAAGATTTCTTCCTCTTTTTAGTGGGGCCTTGGGACGATTGAATGAGAGTAGCCTATCGTGTCACTGGATCATTTGTCTTTGTTTACCGACTAAAGTGAACTTGTAATAGTTTCAAGCATATCACTTGACGAGCATAACGCTATTGATAGTGAAGAAATTTCTTATTTTTATACTGTTGTTTGTTTTGCTTGATAATGAAGTTATAATGGAAGTAGAACTTGAAACAGAGGTAGGTACTCATTCATTCGGTTATTTCACCAAAGGTACACATTACTTCTAAGAAACTTGTGATTTCATACTTGTAGCCTACATATTTCTTTTATAGGTTTTACTGTTTCACAGTCATAGATGGCGGCGAATCGCTGTGCGTTATAGTCACCCTGAATAAAATATCTTGTGTGTACATCACAAGTGACAAGTCAATTAGTAAACGCTGTGGGTGCTTTATGAATCCATGTCGATATTTTATCAGTCACTAATCTTTCGAAATTTATGAGATTTCACAGATAAACAAAGTTACTGACTATTTCATGCTTTGTAATCAATTGAATGGTTTATTGATAACTAATCCCGAAGTAGTATTTTTGCATTTAATAGAAAAAGAAGTGCTTACATTGTTACTCTAGACTATCTAACGACTGTTTTTATGTCAATAAGTTGATCTAGTTAGAGATTAATCTATGAATAGTCAGAGAAAAAAATGATAGAATTAACCAGTGCTTACGAACAATGTCATCAGTTCTGATGATAGTATTCTCAAACAACTCGTATTTTATGATCACATTCTTGTCGAGTGTCATTCTTCTTCTTCTTCTTCTTCTTCTTAGTGTTATTATTATTATTATTATTATTATTATTATTATTATTAAAAAGCCTATTTCTTTTCAATCTAAAGTTACCTCTGTTTGTTTTGATTTACTTTAGAAATTTATTTGGTTCGTGCTATCTACTTCTTAGCTGTACGATTTTCAACTATAGCTGATTTGGCTAAATGTCATGATATTGAGACATTTCTTCATGATATGATCAATGAAGGAGATCGTTCACATAATAATATCGTTCCTACGTCGTCGTCATCATCATCATCATCATCATCAACTATTCAAAACCAACATGAACATCAATATGACCGCTTCTTCGACCAGACATCAAAACCAAACACAGAGCATCTGTCTTCTGCATCTTCCATGAAAGTAAAACCCGGTTTAGAGATAACAGATTCCATGACAAGTTTCGATCATTTAATTGCTTCGAAACTGTTGGATTTCTTATCTAAATAATCATAAATCAAATGATATCCTGTCACAAAACATCAACACATACAGAGACAAAGGAGAACAATAATACTATCCTCATTATTTCTGATAGACTTATTTTTATTAGGTGTCATTTTTCTACAACAACGATCATCTTTGTTTTTTTTGTTCTTCACCGATTGATTTTCAATTTCATCATTTTTAACTTTATATTGTATTTACCTGAATTATTGGAAGAGACATTTTTTCCTCTTGATTTGTCATGATATTTATTTGTTTTTATGTGTACGGATGTGATTTTATCTTATCGTTTGTTATATAATGAGATCTAGACTGATATTTTATTGATAAACTGCATTTTACATAGCTGGCATGTCTTCTTTTTAAAGAAATTGATATGATTGATATGATTGAGCCATAAATTATTTGCAGTGAGAAAGAGAGGGAGAGAGAGAGAAAGATAGTTGAATTTTTAGTTAATATATAAATTAAGAGACATTGTGATAGTTTTTATCACGATATGTCAATCTTCGGCAGTACGCACCCACCACTAATAATGCAAGTTATGACCTTCACTTCTTGTGAATCAACATTCAATGATTTGCATTTTTTAGTTTTGGTCCTCAGTATTTTGTTGTGAAGGTGCGCATTGATAAGAATTTTACAGTGTTTCATCAATATTTCTTGTTTGAAGCAACACTTTTAGTATGTGAACTTGTAGAATGCTGTTAATATATGTTAAATACAATTCCATGGTGTGATAAAATTGGCAGACTTGTCAGCCAATTAGAAAACAATGATTTGTAATAAACATTGATCATTTCTAACGGATAATCAATGTTTTTATAATTGAGTAGAGTTATGGGTTAGGATTGGGCTAGTAAGTGTGGTAGAATACTTTTTATGTACTAAAGTACCATTGACTGTTCATTAAATCACGTTAAACGCTCTTGTATACAGTCTTTACTGAATGCAGTAATTAATTATATTGTAATTTAGGCACCATGTTGCATTGATCCTATCGTGGTACAAAGATATTTTATTATTTTTAGACATTTTCAGCTTTTACTTTACTTTTGAAACAATACAAACCACCTGGAATTGGATTTTGAACGCATACTCAAAATGTGCTTTTATAAATCTAGCTGACTTGTCAGTATTGTAAAATTTTATCAAAACATCTCAAACGCGTCATAATAATTAACGAGTTAGTTATCCTACAGTAATAAAACTGTATTTTAAACGCGAACGTACGGTGTTGACAATAGAACCATTGTCTGTTTGCCCGCTTCAACGTTGCAAATTATTGTAAATACATTTTTAAATAATGTAGTTCTAACTTTGTGAATGTAATCTTATAAAGTGGTATTATCCTAAATGAATGCATATAATATTGGTAGGATCTAATAACGAACATTGTTTGTTTTAAACGATAAAGGTCATTTGATCTTGAAAGCTCAATAGTTGTTTATATTATCAGCTTTAACTGAATGAATGGGTGTACAAATTATTAAACTGAATAAAATTTAACTGTGTTAAGGGATATTGATTTTGACAGGTTAATCGTATTTCGAAGACATTCTAGGACAAATGAAATGATTTTTTTGATGCAAGTTTTGTATTTTCCAAACCCAGACATATGGTATATTGCTATAAACTAAGCCATGAAGCCAGACGGTAATTATTTAATGCGAATATAGGAACTTACTGTAAACGAGATTTTTAGGCGGACTAAATCGTCTCTAACGTAATGGAGTGTCCAGTATTCTATGATCTTATAGTAGGTATGATTTCAACACAGTTCTAACGACATAGCCACCTGTGCGACTTTGTCCTGTCTCTCTTGCTAGTAAGGCATATAGGAAATAAGAATTAGCCTACTATCAGAATGGCAGATTACAACACGAAACAACGGAGAGAATGTCTACGTCAGTCGAGGGATTTCCGCTTTAAGCCTAAATCATCGATATCAGCGAACACAACGGTACAGAACCGCTCATCAAGGTTGCCGGTACTTGTCGTTAACTACGTCTGTTACCCCAAATGGAGCAAGGCCGCTGACCGGTTTTCTCCAACCCAATATGTACTACGCTTCCCTTTCCAGTTCTGTCCAATTTCCGTTCATTCTTTCCATTTCTTCGCGTAGTGTGTCCCATCACCTACCTTTTTCCCTTGACCTTAAGGGCTCCAACCGAAGGCTTTTCTTGTGACGCAGTTAAGTGCTTTTCTTAGTGTGTGTTCTATCCACTTCTTCCTGATTTCCTCCTCCACTGGAATCTGGTTTGTTCTCTCTCAAAGTTCGTTGTTGCTGATCGTGTCTGGTCAACGAATACGAAGTATTTTGCGTAGACAACTGTTAATAAACACTCATATCTTCTGGATGATGGCTTTGGTAGTTCTTCAAGTTTCCGCTCCATACAGTAGAACTGTCCTGACGGTTGTATTGAAAATTCCGATTTTGGTGTTGATTGATATTTGTTTGGAGTTCCAGATATTTTTCAATTTGAGAAATGCAGCCCTTGCTTTGCCGATCCGCGCCCTGACATGTGCATCGGATCCACCTTGGTTGTCGATGATGCTGCCAAGTTATGTAAAGGAGTTAACGTCCTCCAAGTCATCTCCATCAAGAGTAATTTGGTTGACGTATGTTGTATTGTATCGTTAGAATCTTACTTTTCCTTTTATGTACGTCGAGACCAGCTGCTGCTGAGGTTGCTGACACACTGGTCGTTTTCTATTGCATTTGTTGTTTCGTGTGCGACAGAATATTCAGGTCATCTGCGAAGTCTAGATCGCGCAGCCACGTCCTAGTTGTCCACTTGGTTCCGTACTTTCCCTCAGATTTCAACGTCTTCATAATCCAGCCGATCACCAGGAGAAAGAGAAAGGGTGACAGTAAGCAACCTTGCCTCACACCGGTCTTCACCTCGAACGAGTCTGTCAACTGTCCTCCGTGGACGATGTTGCAGTTGAATCCATCATAAGAATTCCGTATGATATTAACTATTTTCTCAGGCACTCCATAGTGTCGAAGAGACATCCATTGTCTTGTCCTGTCCACACAACCGAATACTTACTCATAGTCGATGAAGTTGATGTAGAGTGGTGAGATCCACACAATTGATTGTTCCACAATGATCCGTAGTGTGTCAATTTGATCAGTACACGATCGATCGTTAAGGGACGCAGCCTGTTGATCTGGAAGTTGGACGTCTACTGAATCTTTCATTCGATTTAAAAACATTCCGTTGAAGACTTTGCCTGGTATGGAGTGAGGAGTCATAACTGTGTAGTTCTCACTTACTGAGATCTCCTTTCTTTGATATTTTGATTAGATATCCTTCTTTCCAGTCTGCTGGTACTTGTTCTGCAGTTGCTGTCACATCTGCTTTCAATGCTTGTACTGGAATATTGTCTGGTCTTGTTGCTTTGCAGCTCTTGATTTATCTGTTGCCCATACTGACCTCTTCAATTGTTGGTGTGCCAACATCGATTGCAAGGTCCGTGGATGCTGCTTTGATTTTGAGTGGGTTCAGTGGAGTTGGTCGATTCAAGAGTTCCTTATAGTGCTCTACCCACCTGTTTCGTTGTTCTTCAATTGTTGCTGATGACTTTGCCTTCCTTGATTTTGACTGTTCGCTCTGGTTTACGATAGTTTCCAGCGAGATTCTTAGTCGTGTCGTACAATTGTCTCATGTTTCTTTCTCTTGTAGCCTTTTCCGCCGTCATCGCCAGACCTTCAGCGTATTTACGTTTGTCAACTCTGATGCTCCTCTTCACTTGCTTGTTTGATTCTGTATATTCAGCTTATGCCTTGGCTTTCTGTGCTCTTGTTCGGCTGATGTTGTTTGGAGCGTTATTGTTCATCCTTCCTTGAATATTTTTCAAGAGTACTAACAGAGATCCATTAGTTGTGGTGGTACTTCTTGTGGTCAAGGACATCCTGACATGTTGAATTGACCGCCTCCTTGATTTGTTTCCAATTGTTCTCCATCGTAGTTTCATCTCCACTGAGTAGATCGTGAAAGGCCTGGAACGTATTTCTGAGAGTTATCCTGAATTAGTTGAGTTTGTCAGTATCCCGAAGAGAGGCTGTAATAATTTTTGTGTTGTTGTCCGCTCGGTTGTCTAGTGCCTCTTAAGTTTCAGTTTCATTTTGGCTACCAGAAAGTGGTGATCTGAGGTTATTTCAGCTCCTATTTTGGTTTTCAGGTCCTCTTTGGTCCTTCTGAACATTTTATTGATACAGATATGGTCGATTTGGTTCTGAGTAGTGTGATCCGGTGAAATCCATGTGGCTTTGTGCATGTGTTCGTGTGGGAATACTGTTCCGCCGATGACCAGTTTGTTGAAGTCACATAGGATTTCAAACCTCCCAACATTTTCGTTCCTTGTCGTCCCATGATGTCTTCATATCTGATGTTGTCCATGCCGACCTTGGCATTTTGTTTTCCCATCAGAATTGTCAAATCCTTTGGTGAGCATCTCTCAACGACTGACCGCATCCTCTCGTAAAATTGATCTTTAATGTCTTGGTAAGTGCATAGCATTAGATGATGTCTATCATAATGCCCTCTTTCCTTGTTTTGAAGGATGCTTTGATGATTCTGGGTCTATGAGATTCCCATCTTATCAGTGCCATTTCTGCTTGTTTTGACAGCATCAGTGCAACTCCCTGTGTGTGCGAGGCATTTTTTTCTACATGGCCGGAGTATAACAGCAGCTGTCCCGAAGCTAGTATTAGTTGTCCAACCTGCGTCTAATGTGTTTCACTGAATTCAAGCACCTCTAGGTTGTCCTCCGGTCTAAAACAATGTACGAACATTCTATGTACCTAAAAGAGTGGTTTCTCTGGTTGTCAGAAGGGGCATCGGCCACGTGACTTCCAAACGAACTCAGCTTTCATCATGAGACATCAAAACTATTCTCAGTGGAGAGTTTGTAACTCCCAGGGCAGATTTAAAATGGTTTGAATTATGTTTTCTAGTTGGAATTTTTGTAGCGAGTTAGTTTTCTACAGTATGGAGTTGCCAATGCTATACTCAACCCTTCTCCTTTCGTCCGGGCTTGGGACCGGCAGTATCCTCAGAGGTGCTTCAGGTGGAGTTGGTATTTGGCATACGTAGGATATATCCAAACCAACTCAGTTGACGTAAACTCACTACCTCTCTAGTTAATAACTCATTTATCTAGTATCTTATGCCTAATATTGGCATTACACCATGGTCCCGAAATACACGGGTGGCGTTTTGAAGACGTTTATGATTGAAAGCTTTAGTATATATACTCTACTTTTGATGGCCAAGTTTCATGCCGCTGAACTGGTGCTCATCCGTTTGTCGACAAATGGATTTCTTATCTACTCCACAATTGACGCAAATTGCCAAAAACCAATCAAACTTAGATCCGTGTCCACATTTGTCAGGCACTAGCTCATCAAAACTGATTTTCAAGACAAATGATGAGTGTAAACTGAAATGTTCGATTGGTAATTATTGCCATTAACAGTCTAGTAATGTTGAATTAAACGTTAATCTGTATTAAATATGCCTCACAGTTTCCTGCATGAAAGACAATAAATAAATTGATGAGGATGGATAATTATTCTAAATTTCGTGACAACGAATCTGAATGATATTAAATTGAATATACATTCTACACAAGATTAGACATCTGTAAGAATATTGCTGATAATTGTTAATTTATTTGGGGTTATTTAGTTAATGAACAAGTTTTATAGATCACGTTTTGAACATAATAAAATATTCAATTACTGTGCAACTAACTGGTAAAAACATGTTATTAAAACCTAACTCTTAATATTTATTTTTAAGTCAAATTCACTGTTTTTAAGCTAACTTTGATTTAGGCAAATTGTTTTGTTCATTTTTAAGGTTATCGACTTTGTGTTAGTCTTTATTAATGATACAGTCTTCAAAATTTCCCATATTTAATGAATATATTGTATCCATCGGTTTCGGATACATTTTCATTTCAAGAATCTGCCTGTCTGTTATAAACATGGAAGTTTCGCGTATGGTATACATGAAAAATACAAATGTAGTTAAATTTAGTTGTTGCAGTGGTATGTTTTGTAAAAATTCACTGTCTAATATCCGAACTGCAACCATTAAAGTACTCAAAAGTTCTGGATACAGCGCGCACATTAAACATTTAAAAAATTGTGGATCAACTCAACCTCTTTTTCGCTTCTATATATCAAAATATACACAAAATTGAATACTGTTTCATATTTCACAAACACAAACAAGAACATGTGAATACAGAGAAAACAAGTAAGACGATTACAAACATTAAAACAAAACAAGGAGAAATATTTACTGACATTTCACTTACAGAAAAAAGTTGGGAAAAGAGGACAATGAATTATGTTGACGATGATAATGTTGGTGAAATGTGTGTTTGGTTTTAAAATGTTAAAATTGTACGTTATAAAATAATATAATGAAACTATCAGCAAAAGCATCAAAGTCTTCTGAGATGAATGTGACATTTTTTTTCTTTTTAAAGAGCGTAAAAATCTTATATCGATACATTGATTATTGGCAGAAATAAGACAGCATTTGTTGGACTCCTGAATATGATTCCTTCGTATCGTTAGATTTTAGCTCATCATGTTCAGTAGTCAATGATTATTAAAACTTGAGTACATCCAAAATAAATTATAAACATAACAGACATCTTAGGTAAGTAATGTATATATATATATATATATATATATATATATATATATATATATATATATATATAGAAAATGCATTAGTCAGGTGGTCAACAAATTGAACGTAAATAACAACAATATTTATGTAACGGGACAGAATAACCAACAACACTACACATACGTACATACACATGTAATTGAAATTTATGGTTACAACATCATAGGAATGAATTAGTGGTGTTAACTACAAGCACATCCTAAAACAATTAAATTATGCAAAGTATGCATTTGTAATTCACGATTTGAATCCAAGTATAGAACAGACATACTAGTTAACTGAGTTGGATGACAGCAGGACTGTACTTCATCACGTTGTATATTTCCAAATTGTGATACATTCCTACGTAATAACAAATCCATAACATCATAGTGTAGACTTTTTGTTGATGTGACTAGAAAATGAGAGAAAAAGTAAAGCGGCAATGGGGAAAAGTTTTCTTTGAAAATTAAAACACTTGTTTAAACTAAATGAATCATTTAGTATGGTACTTTTGTTTAACAATGATAACCACCAGTGCAACAACCAATAATTCGTGTCCATACTATCCGTGGAACTTTTCTTTTGTGAAAATTAATTGTAATCAGATTTTGACTGTTAACACGTTTCGAGAGTTGGATTCATTAAAGATAAGAAAAAAAAGACTACTGTCCGTATGTTTCACAGACATAGTAGCTTAGAAAATAGCGTTCGTCTGTAACAATTTATGCGGATTTCAAATTTTCAACATCATTCACTATTGCACTGGAAAAAAATCTGTCACTATAATTTTAAAATAAGATACTAACACTACACAACTAGAATAACTTAAGAATCAATCAAAGTAGCCGATAATACAAATTAGCGTATTCTCAATAATTATCTGTTTGAACAACTGTGAAGAAGTGTACTTAACAAGTTCACCCGGAGCTCCGATTGAAAGCTACCGTGCAGTCAGAACTTGTGAGTATTTCTAGAAGATTCTAAGGTGAACTGAAGAATGTCATACCTACTGCGAAATTTAACAACCGTCACGGTATTCATGAACTTGATGTTTGGACTAGTCAATATAAGTTTCTTATCTCATAGTGTACTGTGATGCCACGTACCAGGTAAGTCACCCTAGTGAATCGCAAATAGACGAAAGCGTGCGTCTAAAGTGACATCACTAAAGTTAGTAAAATATTGTAGAGCAATGTTATACAATTAACACTTATAATTACCTACCTTTGCAAGATCCTCGACAATAATTAGGTTCAAAACTTTTCGGGTGTATAATCCAATTATCCCAACCAATATCAGAAAATTTAACCGATAATTGTTGTGTACAACAACTATACTGATGTCCATTAGAACGACAAACATTGGATATTGTTTCATCTCCTTTAGTCAATGAACGCTTCTGCCTTTTTAAACGTGGACGATATCGAATTTCCATAACAACCTTAAATATTTAGAAATAAATATTAAAATAGAATTATAAATCTTGATCGATCATTCTAGTAATTCAAAATAAATAAATTAGGGAATTGTTTGCGACTGAATTATTTTCAGAATTTAAATCACTAAATGATTTTAATGAAACCTTTCATTGAAAAACCATTGACCCCTTACTCGGTAATGTTGAGGTTAAGGGTCGAAAGACCTGAATTCGATTTATAGATGAAGGGTTGAGAATGCCTATTCACAAGGAATCCTATTATAGGCTGAAACGGTTGTTCACTGTCTTCAGGTTTCCAACGATGGTTTATTTAAAGTTTTTTCGGGATTCAATAATTTTTTTCAGGTAGTAACGAATATCAAGTTTGTCTGATATTCAGTACTGATTAGATTCCATTGATCAAATACATCAATGAATAAGTGACAAACTGTTTAGGTTCAATGTTGTTCCAAATGAACCATGAGGAAAAGATTTCAGTTCATGCAAAAAACTATCATCGAAACTGATTTAATTTACTCAGAATATTTGTAATCTCCATAAAATTCCATGATAACATTATGCATCGAAATTTTTTCATAGTCCGAATTCCACTGACGCATTTCGGACCACCTGAGTGGCCGGTGAGAATACTACCATCGAACAACTGACGCAGTAAAGTAAACTTGTAATTACAATATTTTAACTTAATTTCATATTTTATCATACGCTGAACAATTAATATGATACATTAAGTCATTACATAGTGGTAATTATTGAGATAATGGTTTAATGCTAGAATTAATTATGTATCCTTTTTAAATTTGAGAATAAAATGTACAACCTTGAATGTATTATTACTGGAACTTATTAAATTTTGTGCATTTAGTGTAAAAAAAAGTATAGAAGTAGCAAAATGATTCAGTAATTGAATTCTATATGAATAGAATTGTACAGTCAATTGTACAGTTAAGAAACTATGAATCATTAAAACGCCTGTTCCATTGTATTTAAAACACAACTATGTTTTTGAAGAGTCAATCACTTCATGTTAACAATATGACAAAGTGTAAAGAAATAATGGTAGCAGGGGTACTAAACTTATAAGCACAACTACATTGAGATACCTTAAATCAAATAGTTCCTTTTTAATATAATTGAATAAATTATTAACAATGTTTGAACCAAGTTTAAATTGATTAAGTTGAATTGATCAGTAATTAATAAACAAATCTTTACTTTGTTTTTATTTCAACAGAAAGTCTATCTCTATCTACATAAAATTTGTAACAATTATTAAATCAAAACAAAAGATAAAACAACAACTCGATTGAATGTTTCTATTTGTTTTTGTTTATGTCATAGAAATGAACTTGAAAGAACAAATTATATAATGAAACAAGATTTAACTTGGATAAGAAAACAAACATGAAAAAGTGACATACATCATTAGACGCATATGGATTCCTGATGTACTTACTGTTTTTGATTTTGATACAAAATACTTTTCATTTATTCAATGTTTTCAATAAAGTGTATTTTCTTAAAACATAATTTACAGAAAAATAAGAATATTCTTGATAAGATTCTATGATCATAATAGTCATATAGTAAGATTTATTTATTGAAAGTGAAAATTGTAAGTGAACATTAATTGAACGACAATAGTTTCTGTGTAAATAAACTAGATGAAGGCTTTGGTTAGAATAGTAATCGATTTTAGATACTAAAATGATGTTCAGAAAAATACAGATTGAAGTTATGTCTGCGAAATAATTGTTACCGAAAAACAAAATGTAGCCAAAATTATTCACAAATTAAGAAAGAAAGGGGATATGCATTTATTATTGTCAAGAAACATTCAGTCTTTTCTTTGTTTTCGTATTAGACTTCAGAATTAATGAATTAATAGTTAGAATGATCTTTTTTTGAATTCTGTAGTTGCAACGATGAAGAAATGAGTTGCTGTATTCAACCGTTAAACTAACTTCGTTGAAATGAAACAAACTGCTGAATACTGCACAAATTAGAAAAGAAGTCACACTTCTTATGGATCTTGAATTATTTCATATTTCTAGTTAAAAACTCTTTTCTTTTATTCTTTTATCAATTTTTCTCAAGCTTTCACCATCCTACCATATTAATCTACATAATTTGTAATGATTATGATTATGTTAATATATAACATCAGTGGTTTGACGCATTCTCTGCAAAAACATGTCTCCATATATTGTGAAGCTTTTTTTTGTTTAAATTTTCACATTTACTAATCTAAAGATATTCGTTTAGTTTTTTTTTATAATTTTTACTTACTTATTTTTAATAATTGAATAATATTGTTTTTAGCAGATGACGATAATTCATATAATAAATAAATCCAAGTAATTTTGGTAGATTTATTGTCTCACTGTCATTATGAATTGATCAGTGTCAGACCAACATTAGAAGACGTGACTGGTGTAGGCAGTAACTATCAAAGACAAACGGGTGAGGTCGCGAAAAATCTCTCGATTGATCAGAGTTAGACATTCACACCTCTGGATGCCGGCCCAGTGATCAAGAGGCTAGGCACTGGCGACGTTCCTGGGCTCTAATCCTGCGAGATGCAAGAGTCGTGCATGCGCTCACCCGAAGAGTCTCATACCAGGACGAAATGGCCGTCTAGTGCTTCCAGGTTTCTAATGGTGATCTAAAAATGATTGATTGGTGATTCTAATATGTAAAAACATTAGAAACCACGAAGCATTATACGGCCGTCAAGTCCTAGAATAGGACTTAGTAGCAGTGCACATCCATGACTTCCGCGCGCAGTTATTGAACCCAAGGACTTTGGTCTCACCCGTGTATTCTTAACATCCAAATAGCTGAGCCGGAATCCAACAGTGTTTATGTCTAACGTCAATCAATCCACGGTATTGCTCAACCTCATCCATTGTCTTCGGTTCACACGTAAGACTCAAGGACCTGGGTTCGATTGGTGCCAGAGGGAATTGTGGGTGCACACTGCTCAGGATTCTCGTGCTCGGACGAAAAGACCTTCCATTGCTTCTAGATGGTGATATTACATTAATTGACTTACGGTTTCAATGAAGCTGAACAATCTGCACTATACTATCATGAAAATTGACTGTTCTCTATTTATTCAAATGCATTGAATAAGAAAAAGAACTGTACAAAATATATATATATATATACATATATATATGTATATATATATATATATATATATTACTTATGTAAATATTTCATCCCTATGGATTAATTGAAATTACTTTAAGAAATCAAGGACTCAAACAACCGGTAAATTGTATTCTACTAAAACGCTTATCATTTTGAGTTAAAAAAGTACGGTGATTGATAACTTTGATTATTATCCAGCTTTTATCATTTTATCAGTAATAAATGCACTAAACACTAATAATTAAACAAACATGACACTGATAAGTTTATTCTTTTAGTTAAATATCAAGACAATTTTAACAGTAAGTATAGCTGAAGACTGCATGATCTGATCAATGGTTGGATACTCATCAATATTTTGGGAAATGTGTTAATCGTTAATATAGACTGATAACTTATAATTCAACCGATTGACATCTTATGAAACAAGTCGGCAGAAAAAATTACCTTTTTTGGATCAACAATATTTTGTCCATTATCACAATCACTACATGTGATCAATAAATGTCGAACCAACGGTTTGAAGGCTTTAATTCTCACACTGTGTTTTAACCAATTCAGCGTACGATTTGTAATATTGAATGTTAACACAGGTGTCGAGTGACCTTGAGGTAGAATAGCATTGGCCATTTCGGGCTTGATTAATTTAAACATTCTTTTGAAATCACCGATGGATAGTTTGTATGGATAATTGAATGAATTGGATGTTGATAATGATTTATCCTGCAGATAATCGTTTTCATTTTCATCCGAATCATTAATACCAGTTTGCGGTAACAATTCCGCCGTTAAATCACCATTAAGCCATAAAAATGTTGGTCTAAATAATGTAGGATGAATTTCCCAACAAGTGAATTTTGAATTTTGACGAATTTCATTGTTAATCTGCAGGATAAAGAGTGTGAAAAAGAATTATAAAACTCATTGAAGATATCTATCCGCAAAAAAACCATACTACTTTTGAGTAAATCATATTTGTTAATGAAAAATTCCGTTTTGAATATGAGGCTGTTTGTTTTTTACGAGATATTAGTTTAAGTTGATTAATAATATCTAACATAGACTGTATTGTTGATCAATCTGCTTGATTAACGGGAAAAATTTCCTTTCAGAATTCAAGCTGATTTAAATTAACAAATAAAGTGTCTGAATAATTTTAAAAAAGCTCTCAATAAACTTGGTTCATTCACCAATAAGTTTTATTTTAAATTTAAGGACTACACTATCTAGTTGATTATTTTAGATCTTTATTAAAATAACAAAATGAATCGGGCGTACTACCAGGCAACGTAACCAATGAATCAGTGAATATCTCCCGATATAGCTATCTCCACAGGAGCAGCTGAATTTGTAAATGCACAGTGAGGAGGCCAACTCAGGTAACTTATTTTGTTAGTATTAGCATTATTTTCACATTCTGTATTTTTTGGTAATTTTCTGCCTTTTTCCTTTTATATTCTTCACTATCTAATTATGTACACACTTCTTATAACGTAACGGTTTCAATCTTTTGTAATGATTATTTCAAGTGTATTTATCGATGTTTGACCTACTAGTATTGACAAAACTTTTGTGTTATCGTATTTTATTTTTCTTACTACTATCAGTACACCTGTCTTCCTACTATCAACTTGCACTTTTGCCTATTATGTGTAGTGACGTAATCTGTTTCATTGTGATGATCGACTCAAACTGCCTTGATTGGTTTAACATTTTCATATAAATATTCATGTATAATTAGAGTAAGGCCTCATGACGATCTAATCGAAACCAATATTGTTGGCTTATATCCGTCTTGTTCTAATTTTTACAATGGGAATCTCTAATATTTTAAAAAATTTGTTATTATCACTTTTATAATTGAAATCATGAACGGATATCAGCTTGATCATCAATAAAAACTTGGAAACACCTGACGGTCGTTTCTTCTTAGCATCGGGCAGCTCACAATTTCTCTTCCAAGACCCTGAACCGAACCATAAAACCTAGTATCTTTAGTCTCCAGGACAAACGAATAACCTTTCAGCAAATGAGCCAACATCTAATTTTAATAATGTCTAAATCCAGTCAGTTAATGACCTTGTGCAGCACTTTGTCGATTGCTTCTGGTGGATAACCTTTCCACATCAAATATGGTCATAAATTTTCAATGGTACTCCGTGAGTAATAACTAGTCACTAGTGGACATATGAATTTTATTATTATGGAATTTTGGCAAAGATCGTATTATTTACGGAGCTGAAACCATGAATGAATTATAGATAGGCTGTGAGAATAAAGTTCTTTTAAATATTTGATTACAGATGTAAATCAATCACAAAATATAAATTTATTCAAAAACTGACTTCAAATTTGTAGGAATAACTTTTTTCCACACATTTGTCAAATAGTCTGACTTTCTTAAGTTGTGCATGAAAACGTTACTTACTATTGATAAGTAAGTAGAATAATTACAATAAATTTCTATCAAAATGAAAACAGAGTAATAATATATTTTTCTGATATAATTAATTTATGTCGAATATCATTACTTGTATTTTTGCGGAAAAATCTAGTTTCACATATTAAGAAATCAAAGTTCCTGTATTCAACTCCCGCTAGCGGAGGTCGTGGATGCATCCTGCTGATGAGTCCAATACTAGGACTTGACAGCAATTCAGTGCTTCAAGATTTTTAATGGCGATCTAGCAATGATTAATTGATGAAGAAATTAAAACTTTAGAACTATTAACGTCCGTATTGAAATGAAGATTATGTTGTCATAAGTCAAGTGCAATCGATAGAAGTATTAGTTCATAGAATTTAAACTCCACACTGAGAAAATTCAAGAACAAAGTGAGCATGGGACCATTAATAAATGATATGCATTTCTTTTATATGGAACAAAGATAGATGGATATATAAAATAACTAAAATCTACAAGTATTCTGTCATTAATTTTTAAGATTATTATATGAAATAATCCCAATTCTTACTAATAATAATGGCGTAGGTTGTCAGATCACTTGTTTCACATGATTCAGAAGCTTAATGGTGTTTAGAATGAAAGCTACATTTCAGCATAAATATTATCTCTTTATGACTATCTTCGTTTTGAAATAAAATGAATTTTTGGCACTGTGAACTTTATCTACTAATTCGATGTTCTAGAATATTCTCTAACACAATGGCATTAGTCATTTTTGATGTGATTAATTTTACTAAAGATTTCTAATTCCTTATATCTTTTGTTTGAATAAAGCAAAAACAAAAAATCTAACAAAAGTTAACTGAACTCATTTATTTGATGGATTTCGGTCAGCCTCTTTGTATCGGTTATTTAAATGTTCCCGTACTTGTTTAGGTGTTTAAATAGTGTACATTTTAAATATGACGAATCGTATAATAAACAATAATTGACAAGAATTCTGCTCAAATATTTTCTTCTAACTTACACATTTCAACTATCATAAAAAGAACTATTATACATGAACTACTTTAACCGTCGTTAATTAACTATTTCATTCTTGTGAATTAATAATCTAATCATAGGTATTATCTTTACAATGATCAATGTTAAATTGTTATTAGTTGTTTGAATACGCCAAAATATCATACATATCCTATCAACAGATCTATTAAAGGTCATTTTCACTGGGTTAATTGGAATATGTACGATAGAATAAAAAATAAGATAAAATAACAAATGAAATATTATTCTTCTGTCAAAAACTACTAATAATAATAACATTCTTTCTCAGCAATTTTTTCTCGCTGTTATTGATCTTTCTTTGTACACATTCTTTTTTCTGACTTTTACCTCTGACCTCGCTCTCGCTCTCTCTCTCTCTGTATCTCTTCAACAATAATTAATTTTCTGTTATTGAAATTTTTGTACACCTTAAAAACCGTTTTGTAAATATTTTATGAAGATAATAAATAAATGAAAGAACATTTTAGTTTAGTTATTTGGTTACAGAAAAATAAACTACAAAAAAGAAAACAAATGTTGTTCAGTTTTTTATTTTTTCTCTCTCGTTTTTTGTACTTTTTATTTCATATTTATTTATCTGTTTATCTGTTTAATATGAAATGATGCATTATTGATTGACTGACTGACTGATGATATTCATATGATTTAAAATATTTCAATGTAAGTGAATGGGGATCGGTTAAATAACAATAACAAATTCTACTCATTAATCATTAGTCTAGCTTAATTTCAACAAGTTTATTAACTTTGCTTTGAGTTAAGCATTTTGTTGAGTATATTACTACTCGTACTTGTCGTAAACTAATCTCACTTGAAGTACAAACGAACAGTAAGAAAGTTGATTGTAGTCTTTTCAAACTTCTTATAATATTTAAGAATATTTAGACATGAGTATCGGCAAACTCACATACGATCATTATTTTATTTTGCGAATGAATTAAATCTGAAATCATATTATTCAACACCAAACAGTTTACTTTAGTATTTTGGTGTTTCTCGCAAGATATGTTAGTTGTATGTACGAACTCTAAAGAAAGGTCGATGATATGACACTGTAAAAGAGTTCTATTCTGGAACAAAACAGCCGTTCACCAAATTCTGGGTTTCACAACAAAAATCAATTTGTGATAGATACAGCCTTAAAAGGTAAACTAATCACTAAACATATCTCTAAAAATACAATTATTGTATTTGTTTACACGTCGGAGTTTTTCGTCTGTTACAAAATTTAGAAAAGACATGCGGAAATGAAGATCTTTAGAAATGAATTCATTGTTAAAGATCACTTTCAGTTGTAAATTAATTTCATATAATTAATGTCCGATTAATAAGCCTGAATCAATAAAATATTCAAAAGGACCATGGAGGATATGAGAACCAAGAGAGGAGCTGACATAGCCTCACATCACCACTTGATGGTCGCCAAGATGAAACCGAAACTAAAGAAGCACTGGACAACGGGGCAGACAACATCACACAAGTTTAATACGGCCTTTCTTCGGGATACTGTAAAGCTCAACGAATTCAAGGTAGCCCTCACCAATAGGTTCCAGGCCTTTCAGGACCTAATCAATGGAGAGGAAGCAACATTGGAGAACAATTGGAAAGGGATTAAGGAGGCAATCACTTCCACATGTCAGGAGGTCCTTGGTCGCAAGAAGCACCATCACAAGGAATGGATCTCTGTTGGTACTCTTGAAAAAATTGAAGAAAGGAGGAACAAGAAGGCAGCAATCAATGTTAGCCAAACAAGAGCAGAGAAAGTTACCGCACAAGCTGCACACACAGAAGCAAACAAGGAAGTGAAGAAGAGAATCAGAGCTGACAAATGAAAATATGTGGATGATCAAGAAACGACGGCGGAAAAAGCTGCAAGAGAAAGAAACTTGAGACAATTGTACGAAACAACAAAGAAGCTTGCCGGGAACTATCGTAAACCAGAACGACCAGTGACAAGCAAGGAAGGCAAAGTAATCAGCAACACTGAAGAACAGCGAAATAGGTGTGTAGAGCACTTTAAGGAACTATTGAATCGACCAGCTCCACTGAACACACCCAACATCGAAGCAGCATCCACGGACCTCCCAATTAATATTGGCGCACCTACGATTGAGGAGATCAGTACGGCCATCAGACAAATCAAGAGCGGCAAAGCAGCAGGACCAGACAACATTCCAGCAGAGGTGATGAAAGCCGACGTGGAAGCAACTGCAAAATTACTTCACATTCTCTTCACGAAGATTTGGGATGAGGAACAAGTACCATCAGATTGGAAAGAAGGATACCTCATCAAAATACCAAAGAAAGGAGATCTCAGTAAGTGTGAGAACTACAGTGGCATCACTCTTCTTTCAATACCAGGCAAATTCTTCAACAGGGTATTGTTAGACAGAATGAAGAACTTCGTAGACGCCCAACTTCGAGATCAACAGGCCGGATTTCGTAAGGATCGATCGTGAACTGACTAAATTGCTACATTACGGATCATTGTGGAACAATCAATTGAATGGAACTCACCACTCTACATCAACTTCCTCGACTAAGAGAAAGCATTCGATAGCGTGGATAGGAAAACACTGTGGAGGTTTCTCCGACACTACGGTGTGCCTGAGAAAATAGTTAACATCATACGGAACTCTTATAATGGATTCAACTGCAAAATCGTACACGGAGGTCAGCTAACAGACTCTTTCGAGGTGAATACTGGTGTGAGGCAAGGTTGCTTACTGTCACCCTTTCTCTTTCTTCTAGTGATCGACTGGATTATAAAGACGTCGACGTCTCGAGGGAAGCACGGTATCAACTGGACAGTTAGGACGCAGCTGGACGATCTGGACTTTGCAGATGACCTGGCTCTTCTATCGCACACGCAACAACAAATGCAAGAGAAGACGACCAGTGTAGCAGCAGCCTCTGCAGCAGTTGGTCTCGACGTACATAAAAGGAAAAGTAAGATTCTAACGATACAATACAACATACGTCAACCAAATTACTCTTGATGGAGATGACTTGGAGGACGTTAACTCCTTTACATAACTTGGCAGCATCATCGACAACCAAGGTGGATCCGATGCACATGTCAGGGCGCGGATCGGCAAAGCGAGGGCTGCATTTCTCAAATTGAAAAATATCTGGAACTCCAAACAAATATCAATCAACACCAAAATCGGAATTTTCAATACAACCGTCAGGACAGTTCTACTGTATGGAGCGGAAACTTGAAGAACTACCAAAGCCATCATCCAGAAGATATGAGTGTTTATTAACAGTTGTCTACGCAAAATACTTCGTATTCGTTGACCAGACACGATCAGCAACAACGAACTGTGAGAGAGAACAAACCAGATTCCAGTGGAGGAGGAAATCAGGAAGAAGAGGTGGAAGTGGATAGGACACACACTACGAAAAGCACCTAACTGTGTCACGAGACAAGCCCTCACGTGGAACCCTCAACGTCAAGGGAAAAGAGGAAGTTCAAGGAACACATTACGCCGAGAAATAGAGAAAGATATAGGAGGAATAAACATAAATTGGTCAGAACTGGAGAGGGAAGCCCAGGACAGAGTTAATTGCAGAAAACTGGTGGGCGGCCTATGCTCGATTGGGGGGTAACAGGCGTAAGTAAGTAAGTAAATATGAGAAATTTTAAACTAATCAATCAGTCAGTCAGTTACAACGTAGAACTTTGTATCTATGTAGATTAGTTCAAGTTGCCATACCGCAATGTCACAGAGACGCAACTGTCAGTTCACATCTCATGGTGGTAGAGATAATAGGAGTATTAGAGGTGATGGAGAAGATTAAGGTTCGATGATATTATTCAAGGAGTGTAATTCAGTGAAATAGATTTGAGAAAAGAAAAATAAAAGCAATGAGGGATTCAGAAGATTAGAATTTCATAGAACACAAAGAACGGATGCACCTGTGCCATTGCAGACGATTTTGAGTCAGATTTTTCAAGGTCTCTAACCATCGATTATTATCATCTCGAGGGCCCCAACCAGGTAGTCGACAACTACCAACATGACTCAGTCCGCTTGTCAGTGAATTCATGGATTTCTGCCATGTTTCGGTCTGGCCACCCCTAGGTTCCATCCAACCTACTCCTACATCACAAAACATCGTCCGTCGAGGCAGTCATCGGTTACGTATGCCCAACCACCTCAACTGATAAAGATTCAATATTTCATGTATTAACTTGCAATCCTCACCTAGCACCCGTTTTCTAACGACTGCATTGCTTACTCGATTGTCCCATGATACACGAGCAATGCTTCGAAGACACCTATGATCTTAATCCAGAATCCAACGAATACCTTCTACTCGGACCGGCCATGTTTCACAGCCATAATAAAGTAGGACGGAGCGAACTGCTGCGCAGTACACTCGCCCTTTAGTCAGCCAACGGATATCTCGCCTACGCAATAAGTGACGCAAGTTGGCAAAAGCCAATCGAACCATCTATATCCGAGCTGCGATTTCACCACACACCAGGTTATCAGCACTGACGAGACTCCCGAGATAAGTGAAGCGGTCAACACGCTCAATTACTTCACTCCCTATCACTAGTTCAGGTGCCGATACACGACAATCCTGAAGCAACATTTTGCATTTCGAGGGAGAGGGGACAAACCGCATCCTGAACATGCTTGCATTGTTGCTTAAGGCAGTCAGAAGACTGAATTTTTTCAGATTCTTCACCAACTAGAACTATATCATCGACATACTCTAAATCAACAAGCGTGTCTCCTGTTAGAAGGCCCACCACTGAAAAGTCAGACTATGATAATGTTATATCTAGAAGCATGTCTATGACAAAATTAAACAAGAATGGAGAAAGTGGACATCCCTGATTGACACCACTTGAAGCAATCGATTCCGATGATAGTTCGCCATAAGCTCTCACTCGACCTGTAAAAATTGTTTGCATCATTACCTTAGAATTACATAGCAACCATTTTCAAATGCATGTGATATTGATGACGAATGCATTAGAATCATGCCATTTATTGATTACTAATGCATCATGTGAAAAACAATTTTCCTACTTGACAATGAATCTGAAAACGCTGAGAACTGACTGCAATTAGATTTGTCCTGATCATCAATAATGCAATAACACATCTCCTCATTATCAAATGATTTCAATTTCACGATAGATAGCAACAACAACAACAACAACAAAATTTAATAAACAGAAAAAAAACGCATTCACCATGATTATTTTCCAATTTTGTTAGACATTTTATTCATTGATACATTGAATATTGTTTTAATAATAACTAGAAATTAACAACTAGTCACTGTTTATGTTTGATATAATATTGATCGGTTTGGAAATTACTCCACCTACACAAATTAAAAATGTTTAATTATACTGTTGGAGAACGTGACTACTACTAGTAATAGTTTTTTTTTTCACTGTCAACTGATATCTCTCAGTCCTGTGCTTCATTAATTGTACAAATAATAACATAACCACATGGCAATAATATCTTTTGAAATAGATCCCCGGCAAATACTTTTAAAGTTCCTATTGTAATTGTGATGCTTCGTTCAGTAAATCCTAGCTTAATTTAATGATAAACAGGTTATTTTTACAAATTATTTTCTTAAATTATTATAAAACAGAAAAAATTGGTAATTCATTTCATTATTTACCTCAACATGAAGAGTAACTTGGCTAATATGAGTTGGATCAATTTCTTCGGTTATTTTTAATGTAAATATATTTGGATTGGGTAATTTCACGGGAAGCTGAACTGAAAAAAATGTGTAAATAGAAAGAAAACAAATAAATTTGTAGCTTGTTTTAATTAAAGCTAAAATATTTTTATATTATGAGTATATGACGTCATACGTTGCTCACTTACACCTGTCAACCCAAATGGAGCATAGGCCGTCGACCACCATTCTCCAACCTACTTTGTTCTGGACCTTCCTTTCCAGTTCTATACAACTGTTGTTCATTCCTTTAATGTCTGATTTCAATTATTGGCGTAATGAGTTCTTCAATCTTCCTCTTTTCCATTCACACTGATGATTCAAAGTAAGTCCATGTCTTGTGACGCAGTTGAGTGTTTTGCTCGATGTATGTTCTCTCCACCTCCATTGTTTTCTCCTAGTTTCTTTGTCTGCTAGAATCCAGTTTGTTCTCTACCACAGTAAGTTGATGCTGATGGTGTCTGGCTAACAGATCTTCAGTATCTTGAGTATAAAACTGTTTATCAACACTTTTATATTGTGGATGACGGTATTTCTGTATACGTATATCTTTGTACAGAGAATATTTATGCCATGATACATAACTTCAAGTTATGCATATATAAATCACTTTTTATTTTAACTGATAATTATTTCCTTTAGTCTGTATAGTGTACTCATTGTTTTATTCTCGAAAAATATATCCTATCTTTTATGTTATCTGACCTACAAATGTTCTTGCATATCAGTTAAGTTGCATCACAGATTAGAGCGAGTTATATTTACAGTGTGTTGTCATAAAATTATGTTCATCAAGAGTAATATATATATATATATATATATATATATATATATATATATATATATATATATATATATATATATATATACTAAGAATTACTGATATCCAAATCTTGCCTCACATTGTTCTAATTTTTGTGACAAATACCCTACAACGATTCATTGACCATATTGTTTCAGTTGGATTAACCTAATATCTGTGAAATATGTAATTACACATATTTATGATTGATGCATATTTATATGGTGAAAAATAGTGATTCATTGTGGAACGCTTTAGGTTTGCGATTGCCAGTCATCTGATGCACAATGGGCATTAGTAAAGGCTTTAAAATTGTTAATAAAACAACTGACATCAATTTAAGTCCACATTTTTTTGAAAATGCAGTTTTAATCAAAATGCTTCCAGTCTAATTTCTGCGTACAGCAGTAAAAACAAATAAGTTTCTGATGAAGCAGATGTGAAGGCGCGGATAGGCAAAGCAAGAACAGCATTTCTACAGGTGAAGTACATCTACAGTTTGAAACAGTTATCAACCAACAACAAGTCAGAATTTTTAATACACATGTCAAGGCATTTATAGGGTTTGGGGCGGAAACTGGGAGAACTACGAAAGCCATAATCTGGAAGTTCCAAGCTTTTATTAACCGCTTTCTAAGCAAGACCTTAATAGATTTGTTGGCCTGACATCATGAGCAACAACCGACTGTCGGTAAGAACAAACCGGATTCCATGAAACAAAGAAATTAGAGTAAAGCGCTAGAGGTGGATAGGACACACATCGAGGGAAGTACTCAGCTGCGTCACGAGGCAAGCCCTCACTTGGATTCCTTGATTCCAAAAAAGAACAGGAAGACCAACGAGCAGGTTACGCAGAGAATTAAAAGCAGACATGAAAAGGATGAACAACAATTGTATAGAACTAGGAAAGAAGTCCCGCGTCTGAGTAGGTTGGAGAGAGTTTCTGCGGCCCATGCCCCACTGGGGGTAACAGGCGTCAGTAAGTAAGTAAGTAAGTATATTGATGATTTATAGTAATTTTTGATCTACAATTGTTGAAAAATCGATAATATCAACGACTGATTTGACTATTCAATATTTGTGGTCACAACAGTATTTTTTGTGGGATCTATTTTAATTAGAACCTTTGTTATTAGTCTTCAGTAGATCAGTATCTAATATCATAGATTATTTATTCTATATTGCTCAGTAATTACATTAATTTACAATTAAATCAACTTGGTAAGTATCAGTACTGGCTTGTAATATTCTATCGTTTATTATTCTGTAACGTGATTTACCCAGGCATTATATTTATAAGTATCTTGAACAGATTGACTTGATATATTGTTATATAACAAGTTTTATTATATTAATTTTTTGGTTAGTAGTGGAATTGAGAACGCGCATTCCATTCTATTTAGGATCTGTCAACTGGACGTATGTTTCGTTTCAATGTTCAATATGTCCTGGTCCTCACAGTTTAGCCACATAAAAATGTCTTCAAGACTGACTAATAAGACTTGAAAACTCTATTCACAGCCAAGTAGTAGAAAATTAAATAACGAAAACTGATTATCTTATATGTATGTTACACTAATACTTTTCAACTTGCGAAACTTCAACACATTTCATGCAATGCTATAGCGAAATGGCGGTTGATATCTATTTTTAATTTTATTCTGTACATTACTTTTAGCAGTAAATTTTTAGATTTGTTATTAGATTTAAACAGTTTCAAGATAGTGTTTATGTTTAATTTTCTTAACTTTATATTAGACTACTGAAATTATAATAATAAAATTTATTGAAGTGAATTATCAAATAAACATGGAAAACAAAAAAGCTGAAACTGTCAATTGATTGATCTCAGTTTCAACTGGTTAAAACAAATGGGTGAAGAAGTTTCACTATCTAATACAAATCACTCTAGTTCATGTCAATTCAGAAAGCTCCATGTACAATACAGATTTCACTAAATATATAAGAAAAATTTACCTACTCAATATTGGATATCAATCATTGCATCGGATATTATTATTCTGAACATCTCAATACTTATCACTCTTTTGATATTTACTAGTCATACTTTTTAAATTGCATTATAGATTTATGGAGATTGTTGGGTTACTTTAGAAATTATGAATCGATCATCGTTAGACCATCATTAGAAACTTAGAACCACTGAACGGCTGTTAAGTACTGAAATCAGACTCATCGGCTGCACGCATCCACGACTCCTGCTACTCACAAGAATCGAACCCAAGACTTTCCATTTTGCGCGACCCCTTAACCTACGGACCACTGAGTCAGCATCCAATGATGCTAATGTCTAACTTGTATTGAACAATGTTAGACATTAGAACCGTTGGGTACCGGCTCAGTAGTCCAAATGTTAAGCATTTGCGCGCAAGGTCGAAGTTCCTGAGCTAGGGACCCACCGGCGGGGTCGTGGGAGTACACTGGTTGGGAATCCTGAACTCGGATGCAAAGGTCATCCAAGGCTTCAACGTTTCCATTTCGGTGTTGCAAATTAATTTGACTTTTTGACTGAACTCGCTAAGTAATTATGCATTCGTTTGTGATCTTCTTTACAATTACGTGATGTTTTTTCTCTTCATCATGATAATAACTAATATGATCATTGTGTCTATTTCGTATGACAAATATTAATTTGAACATATATCTAAACATCAATCTCTTAATGATGTTCACTCGTCATATACTTTATGTCCTGTTCACTTTCTTTTTTTTCTCAATTGATTTTCAATTCGATTCTCGAATATTCACTTTAATTTCATTAATTAAGTTAAACCTTCATTTAGAATTAAATCATTTCTTTATAATTTTTAGCTATTATTCATACTCTGATTTAATTTATCACTAATATCGTATAAGGTGAAATATTTCTGTCTGATTAGTTAACTTTCGAGTTCATTTGTAAGGAAAAGTTGTATCGAGTTTTAAACGAATGTAATGAACACAGTGTTCGTATAAACATATAGATATAATTAAACATTACTTTATGTACATAAAAAAAGTTTATTTTTCTATCGAATGCAGATTAATTCAAAACTTCACATTGATTTATATATAATAAATTTTGAAGTGATTGAATTGAAATGTCACCAAGACTATAAGATATTATGTTTTAAAAGTAAACTTTCCCGATGTGGATATCATGTTACAAAGTATGTGACATAGTCAACATGAATGTATTATAGTCCGATCTATGTGCAAGCAAACTAATTAATATTGAAAATACAAATTAATTGTATACATAAAACAAAATAATATCAAACTTATTGTGAAATTTAAACTTATTAAACAGATAGGTTGTAGCATTTCACCAATCCTCATTAATTGTACTTCAATGATTTGTCATTTTAATTATTTTATAATAGTATGAACCATAATTTTATATTTGTTATAATTCGATGAAAGTATCGATCATTGTATATTTGATTGTATGTATGTGTGTGCGTGGTATCACATGTCTAGCCTATTATTGCTTGACTATAAGCTCATGGAGAATTGGCTAACTAGCCTTCTCCGATTCGCTTCGCTCTTCAGTCAAGTCGTGAGCCGCTGAAAAGTAATTCCGATAGGACTTGGAAAAAATTATTTTATGATTAAATTATTCTTGACTTTAATCGAAATGTTTTTCAATTCAAGTATATTTCAGTTTTAGCCAGTTTTCTTCAATACTACTCATATAATTTCAAAGTTATCAACATGATTTGTAATTGTATACCAGTTTCATTGTATTGTATTGACAAAAAATATTCCAGCGTAGAATTATAACAATAATAAATACTAAACATTATTATAAACACAATTTAAACAGAAATATTTTATCAAAAAATATGCAGTGAATAATGGTGTTTTGTCCTACATAACATAATTGTTATTACTAATTCTTTTCTCCTGTAAAGCTGTATCACGATCATCAATGAAATTACATAAAATTGTCTCCTTTTTACTTTGATTCTGAATCCGTCTGTTGCGTACACTTACATACCAGTGTTGATGATTGAAACACAAGTTTTACATTCCACTGTTAGACATAGACCACTTTATTAAAATCTTGTAACTGAGTAGAACTATCAAAGCAATACACTTGAGAAGACCAGAAAAAAATACCGAACCACTCCGCCAATTTTTCACATCAACAACTGAATGGGACAAACATTCTTAAAAATATTTATTACAATTTATTGTCTCCATAAATTTTAATTCTACAAATTTTCAGTTCACTGTCGAATCTATATAGTTTCGATCATTGTTCAATATATCAAGTGAATATATTCTTGTATTAAAATGCAATTTACTATCATTGATCATCATTATCGATTACTTAATGCTAATTTCATAGTTTATCTTTTTAATAATACATATCTATATATCTATATGTATATTTTTGAGCGGCGTAAAAAGAGAAGAAAATCACAATCTTAAGTAAACATCTGTCTATAAACATATTATTATTATTATTATCAATTATACTATTGAAAAATTGAACAATATCATGATGATCATCAATAGTTTAGAGCGACAAACAAAATAACAGTGTGCATTTTACTGAAGCCAGTTGAAACAAACACGAGACAAAAAATGTTATTTGGTATGCAATAAATTGCTCATTGATATTCAGTGAAAATAATAACTACACGTTATTAGTAAACATTCACAGACATTGCCAGTAGTCTGAAGGCAATGTGTTCGCGCGCAAGGCTGAAGATCCTGGGTTCGAATCCTGCACGTAGCAAGAGTCTTAGATATTCACTGTTGATGTAAGTCCTATAGCAAAATTTAACAGCCGTCCAGAGCTTTCAGGTTTCTTATGGTGGTCTAATGATAATTAAATCACAATTTAAATAAATGTAAAGCAGTCACTTAATTAACTTAGTGTACACAAAATATATATATCATATATATATTACTACCACAAATAAATAATACTGTTGATTCTAGTAACAATGATGACGTGCAGTTTACCTTTACAATAGATTAAATATCCATAATAAAACATGCAACAGCTCAGTTTGTTTCATAGAAAATTTAAAATGAAAAATAAACAGTGAAGAGATTTAGTCAGTGTCGGGAATCGTTTGAAAATTTCAGTTTATGAATTGGTCTAATTTAGAATAAAAAAACCTATATTATTCTTAGGTGGAATTTGTCAGCAAATGTATAGCTTGAATTTTCAAGATGAATATGTTAGTTTAAAATTGTTTGATCAATGTATTTATCTTTCCCTTTAACATGATTCAGCTTAATAAATATTGGTTTTTCAGTTAATGATGTGATCTGATAATTGTTTATACATGGGAATCAATTGTGATTATTTAGTTGAACTTGAAGAAATAAGCTGAAGTACCAGTATATTATTAATATTGATAACAATGTGTTATGTCGTATCTCAGAAACACTTTTTTCACATGCAACTCAATAATAAAGTGAAGATGAGTGCAGTTATGTTTAGAGTACACTTTACATTTGGGCCAATTATATTACAATGGTATGTAAATTAATTCAATCAAATGAACAGTATTTTTATAGGAAATCAAGTTTTAAAAATCATGTAATATAATGAAGCTCCTAATTTTATTGACTGAAAACACCTAACAAGTAGATTTAAACCTAATTTATTTATTGCTAAATATTAAACTGTATCTAAAGCAATCATCGTTAATGCTACCACTGGACTCCAATTGTCATAGATACTAATCGCAATGCGGTAAATAAATGGTGTGCAGTGGTGTTTTCCAAACGTTACTGAAGAAAAAACAAGTGTCAGATTCGAATCTATGACGCGATTAAAATATTTCAAAGACTAGAAGACAACCGAAAGTCCGCTTGTTTTGTAAATGGAAGATTAGCTGAATAAATTTTGCTTTGTAAATTGTATCTTCTTCAAATACAACGCTTAGTACGTCTGGTTTTAAATTTTTCTCGTTCATTTCACCGGAAGCTACGATTTTAAAATGACTGAACTTTCTATAGTAACCAATAGTTTATTGTCAGGTTAATAATTTCGAAGATATTTCATGAAATGATTTTCATAGTATTTTACTGAGTTTTACAAGATTTTTTCCGAACTGATATACAGTTCCAATTAAAAATCTTTTTTTCATACAAAACAACCATTCAGATTAACTGATATAAAGATTATGCGTTCAAACAAAGAAATAAACATTTGACAATTAAGTTTTATAATCGAATTGGAATTTGAAATTTAACAGTGTTATTTAATTTTTAAATGTAAACAATTAATGTTGAAAACTGAAAACATTTCAATGTCTGCAACATGAATATCTCAAAAAATAAAATAAAATAAAACAAATATTATCAGCATAAACCGAATAACATTAACATTTCGTAATAACTTGTATGATTCTATCACTAAAAAGAAAGCATCATTCCTTTGAATTTCTGGTATAAAGCTCAACCACATTTATTGATCACGATTAACGAATAATCAAATATATATATATATATATATATATATATATATATATATATATATATATATATATATATATACATTTATATTAACATCTGAATGCAGTTAACCAAAGATATACATCTGTGAAGAGGTAAAAACTGAACCAACAAAATACCAATATTTTTTTGCTCGTTTACCAATTGTTTATTTTATGTTCAAATGCCAATATATATGTATTTCATTTGCGATAATCAGTTAGTATAACTGCACCACTCAATGAAACTGTAGTTTGCAACTAAAGTAAACTAGTTTACGACCTCCATGAAGAAAGAATTCAATAAAAAAAAAAGAAATTCTAACAAACAATTCGAAAAATAAACAATCAAATTAAGTGAATTATTCACTTTAATTGATAATGAGTTGCATCTAAAAGTCACAGCCAATTCTACACTGATTACTTAACTTTGTAATTTAGTATTTATTAGAGAATAAAAATAAACTCAAAACTTACATTGTTTTAATAAAATAAGTGTTTCTTTCTCTTCATCCTGTTCAATGATCGGTTTATCAACCATCTGATTTGAGGCGTCAATTTCAGCTTTTAATCGATTACGCAATACAATCGGTAGTGAATTCCATTCAGATTCATTGTTTACATTTACTTTTGGTATAGTTTTCATATTTAATTGAGATAAAACTTTTGTTTTAAATTTTTCAATAATTGATCGAGTTTGTTCATTGTTTTGGCGGTTATTCAATTGTTGAGTTTGATAATTTTCATTTTCATTATTAATAATATCATTGTCATTATCAACATCATCGTTGCCGTTATCATTATAAGCGTTAACGTTATGCTCATTCGAAATTATATTTGATAAGAATGGATTAGTTGTTTGTTGTGTAAGCCAATTATTTGAATTATATAAATAAGATTGAAGTGAATGTTTTTGTCCATTTGTTAATTGTAAATAAACTCTTGATGGTGTCTGATAAAAATGCTCTCTTGATGATGATGATGCTGGTGTTAACAATGCTGCATCAACTGTTATAATCAATTGAAATACATCAACTTTCGGTTGAGTTTGAATTGAAATTATTAATAATAGAATAAATGTTAAACAACATTTGTTACATAATTTTCTAAATAATAATTTTAATTGAGAATTTAGTTGACCTTGAAACCGTTGGATTGGAAATAAAGCGGAATTTTTGAACATAATACATGATAACAATGAAAAATTATGTCCTAAACTAATTATTTGACGATAAATAATACTGTGTGGGAAATTATGTTTCATATTTTATGAATTTGAAATTACAAAAACAAAATAAAATAGTGACTGTTTATTTTTTCTGTTATCAATGACCTGTAAAGAAACACAGTATATATATATATATATGATGTAGAAAAATGTATGTGTGAATTCAATTGGATAATACCTGTATGATCTTAGCCAGTAATTAAACACAAAGTAATTGTTTTTTTTAAAGTGCTCACTTCACAGAAATATAGTAGAGTAGATGAGTAATACCATGGACATTGAAAATTCATCAAACTGTCATTGTATATAAGTTATTTGTATATATATATATATACTCATAGTAAATAGGAATCACCATACATTGAACATATATATGCACAATGATTTATTCTGATTTATCAAAAAATACGAGCATTTTTATTTAGTTTCGTTGTGACTTTTTTTATCGTTGCAAATTTTTCTCTTCCTGTACACTATCTCCCTTTACATATATATATATATATCTTTTAATTAAAAGACAAAAATATATTTATATTGTCAGTGAACATATTTTCAAAGGAATACAAGTTTAAACTTTTGCTCCCTTCTTATAAAATTGTTAACATGGTAGAGAAAAGCGAGCAATTTTTCTTTCTAAGTCAATGTATGTATGTTTGTTTGTTGAAATTTTTGTTTTTTTAAAAAAAAAAACTATAGTTTCTTTTTATTCGCTTTTTATAAACAATGAACAATTAATGACAAGATGAAATTGTACAAATGATAATATTGGTTAGTGATGATCATTTCCAGCATACAACATCAACTATAAATGAATAGACATGAAAAATAAACCCACAAATCCTCACCCACGATTATTGATAAACCAATAGGATCATTGTATTATTAATTTTTATGAAAAGAAATATAAACTAATTATCTGCTATGATACAAAAAAATTAATAAATGTACGAGATTTGCAAAGATTATTACAATTTACATTATATTAGATAGACAACCCTTCAAAACCGGAACCAATTAAAGAACTGTTTCATTCTAGCAAAAATCCTCCTCAATAATACACATTACCAATCAAACCGATAATCGAACTAGGTACCTTTGGGTTTGGCAACGAATGCTTAAATTTGAATAAGTCACTATGTTCAAATCCAACGGTTTTTATTTCTAACTTCGATTATTTATCAATATTAAGTAACTGTGTAACCACCTCATACTCGACATCAATAAATTTCCTTGATCACAACAGAACTCCTGTGATATGATTGAAACTATTATGCGTTCACCTTACTCCGAAAACGGAACGAAGATCAACGAGGCAATGACAGGATAGGCTATTCTAATCCGATTGTCTCACACCCCGATAACTAATGCAAGAAGTCTTGATAAGGCGTAGAGAATATGTCCTAAAGGCCCCAAAAAAATACGAGGTTGTTACACACACAAATCAGGCTTATTTATGCAATGACAGTGACGCCGTTGCAAGAGCCACAAAATAGCGTAATACAATAACCCATCAACCAATGACAGTCAAGGATTTTCTGAGTGGGAAATTTAAGGTGAGGGTCAACTTGCGTGAAAACATAAAACTTCAGAATTTCAGAATGAAATTAAAAATTAGGAGGACCTTTACCTAGTGAGTTCTTGGCGTTCTGATGTCCAAAACATACTGAAAATGCCTGTCGAGTTAAACAATATTGAGAATCAGGTAATAACGCAATAATGATATTCAAAGATTTCTGGACGACATCAAGCATTAACTTATGGTAATCTTCAAAACCATTGAAAACCATAACAGCCGACCTGAAGGTCAAGTATTCACTGGTTTCAGTTAAACTAGCCTGAATTTCTGGGAAGTCATTGAAAGTTTCTGTTTTAATAACAATCTGTACAATATATATATTTAGAATCTTTTATTTATCAGTATCGTATGTTTAATTTCAGTATCATAATTTTATCATGTAAACCAAAGCGAACTAGAAAAGAAACTAGTTACTGGTAATTAGTTTCTCGAGCGAATTCTCCGAGTTCTGATGAGCAGCCGTGACCAATGGAGTTTAACCATGTTGGCTGTGAGACAGTCACCAACCGAAGAGTGGCTGAAGTCGTATAATATCGTGGAATGCTTAAAGTTATGAATTAACACCATTGGATCTTGGCTCAGTCATCTACATTTTATGCATACGCGCGCAAGGCCGAAGACTCTGGGTTCGATCCCCATGTGCAATGGTCGTGGATGAACACCGCTGACCAGTCCAGTACCAAGACAAAATGACAATCCAGTACTTCCAGATTTCACTCTGATGATGGTCTAACGATAATCTATTCATGATTTCAATGGAAGAAGATTATATTTTATTCATATTGAAAATTGACTTTTATTTTTTAGTTGACAAAATGATATAAAATAATTCTTATACAAAATACGATAAATAAAAGTGAATAATAATTGTTCTGTATTTATGAAGTTTAACAATTACATGAAAAAAGAAATCGGATTCATCTTAGAACTAATAAGAAAAATAAACATTTATTTCATCTTGTTTAGATGAATAAATTTCTTGTTAAATTGTACAAAAATCTTATGGAAATTTAACCAAATTCAAAATTTTCAGTCTAAAAATGCGAGGATTATTGAGTCCTGTACTAGGATGAAATGACCATCCAATGCTTCCAGATTTCTTTAAAATGTTGATCTAACATTAATCGATTCATTATTTCAATACATAAAAAAATGTATGAAGAGAGTTGATTAACCATCTATGCTATTAATGACATGTTATTATAATACCATAGATTACTAATATCATTGAAAGTTTAAGAATAAATGGACAATGTGAATGAAATATCTTATATTTACATAAATTTTAATTTCATTTCATATGGAAAAATGTCAATCGTTAGTTAGCAGATCAATAGTTTAAATTATTGCTAAACAAAAAGAAACCATTTAGTAAATTCATTACCGTCTAGAACAGAATGAAATAATAATGAAACCATAGATTTGTGGGCCGTCTAGTACTAGTATCGGACTCATTAGCAGTGCTCATTCACGATCAAGACACATAGGAATCAAACCCAGGACTTTTGATCTTGCACACAAATGCTTAACCTCTAGACCACTGAACCGGCATCCATTGGTGTTAAGGTGTGAATTCAGTCAATCTATGATATTATTCGACCTCATCCATGGTCTCCAGTCAGTAACTGACCCACATTCAACGGGGTCGACTTCCACTGGTCATGACTTCTCACCAAAACTCCGAGAATTCCTTCATGAACCACCTGATTAGTGAGCACCTGATATTTATCATTTATAGAGTTGTTAGGTTTGTTGAGTTTCATTGAAATCATTTTATCAAATACTTATCAACTTATATTTAATTATATTTATATTTAACTGAACTGTAATTTATTTAGTTAGTATGAAATTTGAACAATTACAAGTTATTCCTATGAATTATACATATGAAAACATTATCCTACACATAAAACATTTTTAACAAGTAGCACACCTCATCAACACATGACTATGTGCATTATAAAACACCTTTTTATAAGTGTTAACATATTTATTGTTTTTGATTCACAACTAAACTTCAATCAACACTCTCAATTTTTCTCCCTAACTCTTTTTTTTTTAATTTTGTCTGATTGTATTTATATTACATGATTATTAATAATGAATGACAAATCGATTATTTGATTGTATCAATTGATTAGGAACAAAAACATTACAAAATATAAAGTTATGATGCATATGGCCGACATGTTACTTACAAACACAATCAAAATGTAAAAAATCACCTGAGAAAAATGTAAAATAGGATATGCTTTTTTGCGAAAAAAACAACAACCAAAATACCATTTAGTGAAAAGGATATGGCATAAAACAATAAGCAACACATTTTGTTTATTTTATATATGTAGGATGTGCATTCTATTCAATGATGATTGTTCGACTCATTTTATTTGAAAAAGAAATAAATTAGCAACTGATATGGATAAATAAGGAAAAAAAAATGAAAAAAAGAATAAAAGTAGGACAGCAAAAAATAACAGCTTATCATTGTTTGAGACAAATGATCTGAATGATGATATTTCATTGATACATAATAATACATAATACATAATAATAATTTTAATCAGAAACAGTAGAATTCTCATCGAATAGATGGATTGTTGCTAACACAGTGGATTTTGAGGAGGTACATTTCAGCGTATTTTGAATTGATCAACCGGAACTACCTATTATATCTCATTATAATTATTCAGATTGCTACTTATCGAATCGAGTACCTTTGTATAACACAGTGAGTTACTCTGAATCCCGATAACTAAAATATTTGTTCAATGAGTATAATATCTATGTCATAATTATTATTTTATGTTGTTCGAATTATTAATTGTCTTTCATAATACAGTTCAGTCTTGAATATTAATAACGAGTTAATTCAAACCTTTTCTAATAAATTAGAATATCAATGAGAATTTCGACTGATACAACAAATTATCTTTACAATAGATGGTAGGAGTAGAAGTTAGTCTAGTTGATCTTTAATTTTAAAGGAAAACCAGCTTCTTGATGTCAAACAAACTGTCATCTATTGAGTTCGCCAATTAATCCATATAAACTGTATTCATTTCTAACAAGTTAGTAAATAACAAAATGAAATAGGTAGTTGTGTTGTTCTTGTTCTTGTGAAATTTCTCGTCGATGCTCATTTTTGATGCTGTATGAAAAAAACTAAGAACATTCAGTCTAGATTGCAAGTGGATCATCTTTAACCCTACTGAATTGATTATACAATGCTTTAAACTTTCAAATGGTTTGAAGTTTTTTTTCCGGTTAGCACATATTTAGCTAGTTAGTATTCTACTCCATGCCAAATCCTCCTTCTTTATCTAGGCTTGTGACCGGCAATAAGCGTCAAGGAGTTAAACACCATCAGTAACAACCTACTGTGGGAGAGAGCGAACCAGATTTCAGCAGACGAAGAAATCAGGAAGAAAAGCTGGAAGCGGATAGGACACACATTGCG